TTTTTTTTTTGCTTACTGATTCATTATCTATATCCCCCTTTAAAATGCTAGTACCACGAGGACTATTTTGTTTATTACTGGAAATTTGAGAGTGCCTGGTTTTAATCTTTATTTGTTAAATGAATTAATCATCAAACGAATACATCTAAGGGTTCCAGGAGAAGCGCCAGAGCTGGCATCTACCAATGGACAAGGAAATAACAAATCCTACCTTTCTGCTCATTTTGTCTTCATTATTACCAGGAATTCTGAGACTTGAAGCACAAGATGAGGGAATATTTTTATAAAAACTCAGAATCTCAGTAATAAATAGCTTATTTTTTCTTATTTGTATCATATCACTAAACTGGTTTGCCCATGTTCTAATACAATTGTTAATTTCAGTGTGTACTTAGGTCATTCATTTTAGGTTACTTTTTTGTATAAATAATATAACATATACCAATATTACAAAAACTTATATTCAAATATTCAAATAATATTTGTCAATCTCAACACCCAGGAGATGATTGTGTGTGTGTGTGTGTGTGTGTGTGTGTGTGTGTGTAAAATGAGGAACTGATCATGTCAAACTGTATTGTAAGTGGTCAGATTATTTTGTTACCTTGAATTCATCATTTTATTTGCTTTCTATATCATCATTACAAAGAAAAGTATGTGTAATGCTTTTATCAGTCACATCTCTGTACTTCCTGGTAAAATATGCCAATCAAAATGAGTGAATTTTATATTACTTTCAAGAGGAGTTACTACTATCTCAAAATCTCATAGGAGTATTATGTAACTTCTTTAGCCTCTGATTTTTTTTTTTTTACATGATGGTTTGGTGCTTTTTGGTTTTTGCCAAAGACCAATAACATTCAAGGAAATTAATTTACCTTCATGCAATTGAATTCAGGCAAGTTAATTCATCTTAATGCAGTGGAATAAAATAAGAAAGCAGAAATACTTGGTGCAATTAAAATGGAATTAAAAATTTTAAACTTTAAGCCCACCTCATTTCATAAAGGATATGAGCTGACTTTAAAAGTTTGTAACCAATAAGACTGAAAAATCCAGTGAGATGGGAGGGAGAGGGGGTTATTGAAAACCTCAGTTAAAACTCTTTTAGCCCGGTGCAATGCTTTTGAATGCTTCTTGGGCATGTCAGCTATTTGATGAGACATGCTTTATTGCTTTTCTACTTACATTTGCATAACCACTTTTAAGCAGAAAAACTGCATGATTTCAAACTTGATTATTACAAAATCTTTTAAATTAAGTTATTGCTGTTGAGTTGTGTCATTGACTAATTTTTCTAGCACAAATACTGGTAGAAAAGAAGAACATTGAGAAATTCTCAGGGCAATTTATACGGCATTTTGTTTCCTCTTCAGGCAATGATGCAACATCAATTGTCAACTGTCTTCATATTTTGGGTCAGACTTTGGATGCAAGGTAAATGGATACATTTTTACTTAAATAAATTACTATAATAATGATACATGTATATATTTAAGAATGTTAAGAAGGACCCAGAGTCTTGATTTTATTCTTTGGATTTGTAATGAAGTCTTTAGTGTAGGTGAAAATAAAATCTTTTCTAAATTAATACAATGGCAGCTTATTTTTATGATCATATATAGATTATTATTTAATCTCAAGTAATTTCTGTAGCAGCTAGGACCATAAAGGAGGGTTGAATTGGTAATGTATCGTGCAGGAAAAATGGTAATCTGACAATTCTGGAGATCTTATTAGCTTCCAGGCATGATATTTGTGCTTAACATTCATAATAACATTTGGCTTTTTAGGAAACAGAGTTTTATTCTCATTTTACAGATGAATAAAGTGATGTTTAAGATTGCATACTAAGTGTGTAGGTAGACAAATTCCCATCTGTGTGCCTTCTACTCTGCCCTGTCAACTGGACCAGAAATCTAGCATGTTGACCAAATACAAAATCAGTTCATTTAGCGTGATTGATTCAGCATTTAAGCCATACATTTAGTTTATATCTAGGATAAATCTAAATAAAAGTTTATAAATGTCTCCTAAAGAAAACATTCCACAATACTCTTTGATTATCCATTCTTGTGTTTAAGATTTCATTTAAGATCTTTTCTATAATAAATGCAAAAAGGAGACACCATTACAGACCCTCACTTCCTACTAGAAATAGTGGCGTTAGGGTATGAAGTTCAGCCTTCAGCGGCTTCTTTAGAAAAGACTTGATTGCTACACCTTAAAACACAAACATTCTGTATCATTTGTTGAGTTGGTTTAGCTGGCATGAAATGTTTTTCTTTTCCTACCCATCGCCTCAGGAAACATTCCGTTTTGTTGGATTTGGGATTAACTATACTCCCTCAGAAACTGTGTGTTGTTAAATTGGAGGCCATTAATGGCAAACATACAGCATTTGCACAGACTTTTGCAGCAAGGTTTTCATAAATTGACTATAAAGGTATTTGGAAAAGATAATTTACAGAGCAGTGCTGCTGTAACTTCAAGGATATTGAAAAAACTTGTTTTAGAGTTGATTTTAAAAGTTAGTTACCAGGTGGGTAGAGTAATGGAGAAATAAACATCATAGGAGAACCACATTTCATTTATATTTCATTTGTTCCTGTTGGAAGATACGAGCTCTCCCTTATTTACTTTCTAGGACAGTGATGAAGACTGGCCTGGAGAGTGTTAAAAGTGCACTCAGAGCTTTTCTGGACAATGCCGCAGAGGATCTGGAGAAGACCATGGAAAACCTCAAGCAGGGCCAGTTCACTCACACCCGAAACCAGCCCAAAGGGGTTACTCAGATTATCAATTACACCACAGTGGCCCTGCTTCCAATGCTGTCATCATTATTTGAGCATATTGGCCAGCATCAGTTCGGAGAAGACCTCATATGTATGTAAATTTATATCTTGGAGTTTTTTTAAAAAATCAAAATACCCTCTAGTACAATCAAAAACAGTAATAGCCACATCTGGATTACGAAAACACCGTTTCCATGTTAAAATGCCTTTTTTATTGCAAAACGTTATAGGTTGACATTTGAGCGATAGACAGCATTCTTACAGAAATAGATCTCTGAATTACATGCACCCACAGAGAAGACCAGTAAGGTACTGGTTATAGAAAATAACTTCCACATTGTTGAAGTAAAGTTTCTAAATGATCACTATCTCCACATTTTGCCTCTTTTCACGTAAATGTTTTAATGCAGTTGGACCACATAAAATGCAACATTAAATGTTTTCAAATTATTTCTGAGTCAATGCAGATTGTTTCTCCAAGCTTGGCAACATAGTAATGTGAAGACTGTGTCTAAGTAATTGACAAAGTCTGTGTTTAAATAATTGCTCTTTTAGAGTGTCTCAGTATCCTGTTTAGAGGTTTCTGACAGTTTGTAGGGAAGCTTTAATCTTCTGTTTGGGGCTGGCATTTGGTAGTTAATAAAAATATACACAGAATGCCCGAGATTATGTGGAAAAAACAGCACATGAGCTGCTTCAACTCCCCACTATCCTGCTCAGGACATGAGCCGTTGTTGAGCAGCATCACCAACTCAGATTCATGCATTGTACATTCCTCAGTTGATGGGCACATCTGTGCAAAAACTGCTGTTACTTAGTGGATGCCACAACTACCAGTGGCAGAATGTTTATTTTAAATTTTGTTTTAAGAAAGCATGCTTAGTCTGGGCGCAGTGGCTCATGCCTGTATTCCCAGCACTTTGGGAGGCTGAGGTGGGTGGATCACCTGAGGTCAGGAGTTCGAGACCAGCCTGGCCAATATGGCAAAACCCTGTCTCTACTAAAAACACAAAACTTAGCTGGGCATGATGGTGCGCACCTGTAATCCCAGCTACTCGGGAGGCTGAGACAAGAGAATCGCTTGAACCCAGGAGGTGGAGGTTGCAGTGAGCCATTATTGCCACTGCACTCCAGCCTGGGTGACAGACTAAGACTCTCTCTCAACAACAACAAAAAAAAAAAAAAAAAAAAAAACATGCTTTGATGTGCCTTTTTTTTAGGTTTTTTTTTTTTTTTTTTTTTTGAGACGGAGTCTCGCTCTGTCTCCCGGGCTGGAGTTGCAGTGGCCGGATCTCAGCTCACTGCAAGCTCCGCCTCCCGGGTTCCTGCCATTCTCCTGCCTCAGCCTCCCGAGTAGCTGGGACTACAGGCGCCGCCACCTCGCCCGGCTAGTTTTTTGTATTTTTTAGTAGAGACGGGGTTTCACCATGTTCGCCAGGATGGTCTCGATCTCCTGACCTCGTGATCCACCCGTCTCGGCCTCCCAAAGTGCTGGGATTACAGGCTTGAGCCACCGCGCCCGGCCCTTTTGTTCAGTTATTTTTATTTGTATAAATGTATGAGTTACAAGGACAGTTGTCTGGACTTTTAGGGTATCCATCACCCAAATAATGAACGTTGTGCCCATTAAGTAATTTCTCACCATCCACCCGCTCCTGCCCCCTCACCCTTCTGAGTCTTGTCTATTATTCTCCTTTCTATGTCCATGTGTACACATGGTTTAGTACCCACTTATAAGTGAGGAATGTGATATTTGACTTTATGTGCCTGGCTTGTTTCACTTAAGATAACAACCCCCAATTCTATCCATGTTGCTGCAAAAGACATGGTGTCATTGTTTTGTATGGATGAATAGGATATAGCCTAAACTTGATAGTATATAGCTTAAACTTTCTCAGGACAATGTATAAATAAGTGGGTTTTTCTTTCAAGTGAGATTCTCTTTTTCCTTAGTGGAAGATGTCCAGGTGTCTTGTTATAGAATTCTGACTAGCTTATATGCTTTGGGAACCAGCAAGAGTATTTATGTGGAGAGGTAAGAATTTTTAAAGTTTAATTTTGTATTAATTGCTGCTTCAAGTTTTATAACTATTTATTTCAAGAATCTTCATTTCATAACCTGTTTCCTGGTTATAAACTAAACCGGATTGACCTTTGAAATTCCTTGGAAGTAATTAGACAATCTTTAAACAAAATAAGAATTGATATAATAGAGGACAATGGAGTTATAAAAAGAAAGTAAAACACTAATGGTAAAGACTATACTTAATATGAAGTTTCAACTTAGAGTGTTTGAGTCTTATGAAAGCACCTGCTAGTACAGTTTCTCATTATATATCAGAAATTCAAAGTAAACATGAATATGAGCAGTTATTAAACTTAGTTTTATTTTCTCATGTTCTCAAGTTTCAGGACGGAGTGGTTTGCAGTGTTAAATGATGTGAATAGGTAACATAAGAAAAGGTATCCCCAGTAAATTTAAAATAAAGAGATCACTGGTAACTTTAGTAAGAAATTGCTGTGAACCAGAGAAGAAAAACAGGGAAGTTTTTTTAAAAGGCCAGAATAAATAAAAACATTTTCTGATAGAAGATTTAATTATGAATAGATATAAGGTCTCCCCAAATTAATCTGTAATTATAATACAATTTCAAACAGAAATTTGCTTTTTATCCAACTTCACAAAATCATTCAAAAGTTTATTTCAAAGAATAAACCCATGAAACTAGCCAATAGAATTTGCAGGGGAATAAAAGAGTAATGAACAGGTACTCATTTGGCCTACCAGATATTAAAACCTATAAAGCTACAATAATTAAAATAGGATGACAGTTGTACATAAAAATAGAAAATTAGATCAATGGAGAAACATAATTGAGTTTACTCTGAGCATTTTAGATTTTTTACCTTCATTTTAAGTAAACTCAATTTTCATATTATTTTATGGTTATGAACGATATTAAGGAAGTATAATTTATTGATATGTGACTTTATTTTTGACATGTTGGCTGTTTTCTGTTTTTCACTAATATATATATAATGCTAGATCTATGTTCCTAGATTCCATTGTATTTTTATACTTATTTCCCTTAGCTATATTCTCAGAATTTGGAATTGTAGGTTAAAGCATATGCCTATATTACAGGATTACGGTACTCATTTCACTATGTTTTCAGAAAATTGATTCCATTTACATTCTCAAGTTTTAGAAGTGAATGCTAATTTCCTCACTTGTTCCTTACTCAGATTATCTTTTTTTTCTTTTTCGTGCTTGTGTATGTGATCATTAAAATATAGGATTACTATTTATATTTTCAAATGCACTTTCCTGATTACTATCTACTTGCTATTTTTTTTCATGTTTACCTTGCCATTTGTGTTTCTTTACTTTATGAATTGGCTTTTCTCATCTTGCATCTATTTTTCTATTAATGTATTGTCATGCTGATTTGTAATAATGCTTCTGTTTATTGAAATGATTTAACCTCTTGCCTATTGTTTCTCCTGTTTTCATGAGTTTTAGCAGTTTTTTACCTTTATAGTGTTTATATATTAAAACTGTATGCAGATAGCATTTTATGACATGGTAATCTTGAATTTTTATATAATCAAATTTTATGTAATTTTGACATAATCAAATCTATGAACTATTTCATGTATGTTTCTTCCCCTTAGTTTTATGATTCTGATAAGTTTAGACTGCACATTTAGCAGTTAGAATTTCAAACATTTATTCTCCTAGACTTTACGTGCTTCCAGTTCCTTATATTTAACTTTTTAATCCTATTGTTTGTGTCCTAAATATTTATTAAATGCCAGATGCTGGGGTACAGAAATAAACAAGATACTTCTCTACTCTCATAGGTTTTCTATCTGGTGGAGGAAACCAAACCAAAACAGACAAGCAAACTGATAAATATTATAGTGGCGAGGGATAGTTTGTCCTATGAATAATCAGACAATTTACAGAACAAGGTAGTCGAGAATGTATCTTTTAGAAGGCGACTTTCGAAGCTTATAACTTTTCTCTATGCAACAGAAAATAGGTAGAAGCTATGTCAGGTAGGTCTGTGTCTAGTAGCTTCTATTTTCTCAATGAAGAATGACTTGAGTCCTAAGCCAGACGATGGCTGAGAAAAGACATGTGGAAAGCTCGAGGAAAGTAGAGAATGTCTGGAACGATTATCTCTGAAATAAGAAGGGAATTTGCTAGAAATATATCTGAATTTTATTTCTCTTGGGTATTATGTAGGATTCAACTTAAAATTTTTAAAAGTCATCAACATGTGTAAAGTAATCATTTATTAAATATTTATTTTATTCCCTGATGTAAAATAAACTATCACATAGAGTAATATATTTACTAGATTACATTTAGAATTTCTATTCTGTTCTATTATTTGATTTTTTATGAATAAATCAGTATCATATAGCCTGAATTGTTAGTATTTTTAAAAATATTTTAATATCTGTTTTTTCAAACCCTCTAATTCCTTCTTACTGCTGTTACTTTTGTTTTTGTCCTTGTTGTTTTTGCGTATGTATTTATCTGGACAAAATTCGAGGTCATTTTTTTAGGTTCTGAACAATGTTTTGGTTTTTGGTGGCTTGGTTTTTAAGTCTTTTTTGTGCAACTAATTTTACAATTATAAAGTGATTGGGGAAAACAAAAAAAAATAAAATTTCAAAGGTAAGGAAAAGACATTTTGATAAAAATAGATATTTAGAAAAAGTTACAGTGGAACTTTTTCTAAAATATCTAAAAATCTAGATACTTTAACATAAGTCATCCAAAAGAAACATTGATATTTCTGGAATACCAACACAGATTATCAGAATCAGTCTGAGAATCACTCATTGAAACAGAATTTTAAAGTGAATTAATGAAATAAAAGGACTAGTCCAATCAGATATGAGGAAAAAAGTTGACAGATAATTTTTTGCTAATAGAGAGTTTAGCTTTTTTTCAAATGGTGAGGATATTGCTATTGAAAGCACATGATGTTTAGCAATGCAGAAACTGGATTTGGAAGTTAATTCGTAGGAATATTATTCCTTTTAGGTTAAACTTGCTAACTGTAATATGACTTTTTTAGTTACTCACTTGGAAGACATTAAAACATAAGCATTTTCTACTTACAGGCAACGTTCTGCGTTAGGAGAATGTCTTGCTGCGTTTGCTGGTGCCTTTCCTGTAGCATTTTTGGAAACTCATCTGGACAAACATAATATTTACTCCATCTACAATACCAAGTCTTCTCGAGAAAGAGCAGGTAACACAGAAACATGTGCAGTGCTTTGAAATATGAAGCTAAAACTTGATATTTATCATATTGTCCAATCGTGATTTTTAATGAGCTGTTTCAGTTTACTATCTCCAATCTTGTTTGTTCTTAAATGTTATTTAGGTATTCTGTTTTTGGATACTATATTCAATTTCCCTAGTATTTCTGAAAGAAAATTCATTGGATTTCTTCTCAGTTAATGAGCCATAGACAAAACTCTTAAAAATAAGACAAAGTAATAATCAAATATGGAAAAAATAGGTTGGTCTGATTTATGATTCAGTTATCTATTTTAGTTTGTCAGCAAGGTGTATGCCATTTTTATTACTTAGATTTTATGAATTTATACTTTTAATTATTTCTTTTTCACCAGATATGTCTACCTTATTAGGACAATTTTATTCCATGTGATTTTTTAATAGTTGAAGCTTTTTTCATGAAAACACTTTAAAACATAAATCTGAGAGACACTTAATCAATGACTTTAAATCTGCACCTGGCCCAAGTTTATGTGTCCCTAAGATTTATGTTTCCCTATATAGATAAAGAGAATCTACAGATCCTCACGATTCATGTTGTGTTTAGGAAAATCTGATTATTCACTGGGCAGATAGCCCCATTTTCTCCACTGTCCCAGTTAAGAAAGCTTTTGAACCCTTGCTGATGATTTCAATGGTTGGACTTTGAGAAGTTATTTGAATTATTAACTAGGATTTGAATTGAGTTGGATATACAAATAATAAAGTATAAACTAGTTATTCTTCTAATCAGTACTTTCAAGCAATCAAAGCACAATTCTCATAGCCTGAACACTACAAAAGTGATCTCTTATAGAATGTTTTTCCTGTTTAATGTCTTCTAAGTCTGATAAAGTTTATTATATTTTAGTTGTTTTCCAATAGCCCTAAAGAGCTCTCACAGGTTGGGCAAGGATTGTTTGCTGTTCACAAATTCATACCTGTTTATTAGCTTATTTCTCTGTATAACTCATGTTTTTATGGGAGCTGCTGGTTATATTGATTTTACAGTGAATTTCATGAAGGAAAGAATCTTTTAATAATTCACGTAATCATTATTTGACTATTTTATAATTCTGACTTTATATAAAACATGAAGTTAAAGAAAAATACGTTGAATGTGCTTCGTAATATTTTTCCACATAATTTCCACAATATATTTGTAAGTAGTTAGTGAAAAATGGTTGTTTGAGCTCTTAATCTTCTGTGTAAACATATAAAGGTTGCCTTATTGAGGCTTTTGATCAGTTCATATTTTTGCTATGAACCAATAATGAAGCAGATTTGTTATTTCATTACAGATAAGGAAATACACAAAGCAGATAATTTACCTGCTTACATTTCTGTAATATCATTTGCCTAACAAAGTAAAGAAATTGAATGTAATGATTTCATTTTTCAGTCATTCAACAAATACTTGTTTGTGATGTACACTGTGGTAGATGAGGGAGATATGATACAAAGATGAAGAAGACGATTTTTTTCCTCAGGGACTTTTTAGTGGCAGTCGAGGGAGAAAGATCGATAACATATGTGATAGAATTAAGAATAAAGAGCATTGGGGCCAGGGCACAATGGCTCACACCTATAATCCCAGCACTTTGGGAGGCCGAGGTGGGTGGATCACGAGGTCAGGAGTTCGAGACCAGCCTGGCCAACATAGTGAAACCCTGTCTCAACTAAAAATCAAAAATTATCCAGGCAGGGTGCCAGGCCCCTATAATCCCAGCTACTGGGAGGCTGAGGTAGGAGAATCACTTTAACCCAGGAGGCAGAGGTTGCAGTGAACTGAGATCATGCCATTGCACTCAAGTCTGGGCAACAGAGCAATGCACTGTCTCAAAAAAATAATAATAATAAAAATAAAGAGTACTGGGGACAACAAAAAAGGCAGTTTTAGCCAGGAACACCTGGAAAGACTTCACAAAGCTGATACAAGATGAGTCTTGAAATTAGGAAGACTGAAACTCTGCTACATGAGGAGAAACTTCAAGCATTCTAACGTGGTGGAGATAGCGTTCAGGAGAGTAAAGGGTGAAAGATGAGACAATAATAGAAAGCCAGAAAGAGGGGAGGAAGGCTTTTTATGTCGGGTGAGGAATGGGGACTGTACCAGTGGCAAATAGAATCCTTTTACTGGCTTTAAAAAGGTAAATGAGCCGGGCGCAGTGGCTCACACCAGTAATCCCAGCACTTTGGGAGGCGGAGGCAGGCACCTGAGGTCAGGAGTTCGAGACCAGCCTGGCCAACATGGTGAAACCCCATCTGTACTAAAAATAAAAAAGTAGTTGGGTGTGGTGGTGGGCACCTGTAATCCCAGCCACTCGGGAAGCTGAGCCAGGAGAATCTCTTGAACCCAGGAGGTGGAGGTTGCGATGAGCCAAGATTGTACCACTGTACTCCAGCCTGGGCGACAGAGCAGGGTTCTGTCTCAAAAAAAAAAAAAAAAGGTAAAATGAGTAGATTTGCATTTCAGAAATGTATCCTGACAACAATAAGGAACATGAATAGCTATAAGTCAGCAATTAGAATAGGTGGTAATTCAAGAGCAAGGTGACTGAGCAGGCCCCTTGGACAGCATGTATGTGTGTTGATTGTGAGAGCTCCTAGAGGGAGAGTCATCTCGTGTGGCAGATGAGGGAGCATCGCAGCCTAGACGTTCTCCCAGGTTTCTTGCCTGGGTGACTGACTGGATAATGTCCCCACCAAGTTAGTGCACGCTCAAGATAGGTTGGAGAGAAAAGGAGAAGTTTAAATTTAGACCCATTGTGTTTTAGTTGCGGTTGAGACATCCAGGATAAGTCAGAACAGTTTCTAAGAAACATGGCTTTAGAGATATTAGCTTATAGCAGAAAGAATGGCCAAAATTGTCTAGATGAACATGCAAACCAAAAACAAGAAGAGAATCAAAGAGAGATTCCTAAAGATAATCAGCATTTAAAAGTTCAGCAAGGGCCAGGTGTGGTGGCTCACGCCTGTAATCCCAGCACTTTGAGAGGCCGAGGCAGGTGGATCACGAGGTCAGGAGTTCAAGACCAGCCTGACCAACATGGTGAAACCCTGTCTCCACTAAAAATACAAAATTTAACCGGGCACAGTGCTGCGTGCCTGTAATCCCAGCTACTCAGGAGCTGAGGCAGGGGAATCGCTTGAACCGGGGAGGCAAAGGTTGCAGTGAGCCAAGATCGTGCCACCTCACTGCAGCCTGGCCACAGAGCGAGACTCCGTCTCAACAACAGCAACAACAACAACAACAAAGTTCAGCAAGGAGAAGAGAGTCAGTAAGGACACTGACAACGTTCAGAGGGAGCCAGAAAGGCTGGGCACATTGATGTTAAGAAAGAAGGGAGTTTTAGGAAAAGGGCATTTGGTCAGGGATATGCAATGCCACTGAACCATTGGAAAGATGAGTTGTAAAGTGTGATTTTGCTGCGCAGTGAAAAGCAGCTTTGTTCCTGCGGATGGAGAGTGCCTGGAAAGCTAAGTAATCCGGGAAAGATTTGAGTATCTGCTGGGTATGAGGTATTAGAGGCCTGAAAATACAGGCCTGAGCAAGACATCGGGTATTCGGTGGAGCCATGAGTGGGGGACTTCAAAGCGTCCTCAGAGACGGGGAAAGGAGGCCAGTGTGGAGCCAGTCATAAATGGCTTGTAGGTCGTGAGAGCAGCAAAGTTAGAGGAGGAAATATTTGATACTCTTGTTTGCTGTGAAGTAGGAGGAATGGCTGTTTTCTGGGAGTGTTGGTACAGTAGGAACTTGGAGGAAACAGAAGCTTTGAAATAGCTACCTTGAAAAACAGGAGAAGGAGCCAGCTAAAGGCATGCCAGATCTTGCTAAGTTTTGAAGTCCAAAATGCAATAGTTGCCTGTGGAAATCTGCCATATCATCTCAGTACTTTCTTTGAATATAATCCATTTTTTATGTGTACTTCTCCAGCTCTCAGTTTGCCAACTAATGTGGAAGATGTTTGTCCAAATATACCGTCTTTGGAGAAACTCATGGAAGAAATCGTGGAATTAGCTGAGTCCGGCATTCGCTACACTCAAATGCCACATGTCATGGAAGTCATACTGCCCATGCTTTGCAGCTACATGTCTCGTTGGTGGGAGCATGGGCCTGAGAACAATCCAGAACGGGTCGAGATGTGCTGCACAGCCCTGAACTCAGAGCACATGAACACACTTCTAGGGAACATATTGAAAATCATATATAATAACTTGGGGATTGATGAGGGAGCCTGGATGAAGAGGCTAGCAGGTAAGAATCAGAAGAAGACATTGTACCGCTTAAATCTGTTTTATTTCCAAAAGAATTTTAAATATGTAAACTAGAATTTTCCCATCACGATTTTTATTAATATTTTCTTTACTCAAAAATAGCATTATTTGTCATGCTGTTGTTTAATGTAGATAAAAACAGGCACTGGGTTTATTTTAAATAGTTACTACTTTTAAGTAAATATTTTTCTGACTTGTCAGTCTCTGTAAGATTAATCAATAAACACAGCAGGAAAAACTAATGAGTCTATAGCCAGAGACAAAAATAAAACGTTCAACTTTTAGCAATCCACTTTTAGCCATCTGTGGCTAAACCAAAAAATGGGTAAACCAAAAAAATGTAGTCTAATATCTACAATTATTGCATTATTTATATTGAAAAGTTTAAAGCAATCTAAGTATCCAATAACTAGAATATGGCTAAATAAGTTGTGTACATCTACATGCCAGAATATTATGTCATCTTTAAATGTTAAAGTTCCAACAATGTTTTATGCCCTGGAAATCCTCATATTATGAAGGACAAAATGAAGAGGTTTTAAAACAATGAATTCAGAATGTTATGTGTGTAATATATATGTATATTAATGTATCTACTGATGAAAACTCCAAAGAAATGCAGCAATGACGTATTAATTTGGATAGATGATTATGGTTGACTTTAACTTTTCTCTTGTGTACTTTTCCCCTATGCATATATGTTACCTTCAGGGAAAAAATAGTTTTAAAAAATGGCCTAATCAAGTTTAGAACTATTACTAATAACTATGGTTATTATTAAGTAAGAGAGCAGTGTTCCATGTAATCTAACTCTTCCATTGGGCCAAGGATGGGGATAGTTAAAATGAGATAACTGCATGTAGTCTCATGTAGTAATTATGTAGCAGAGCTTGTTCCTATTCTAAGGGTTAGGGGAAACTTTTCCATTTGGGGATTTTATTTCTTGTGTGAAAATGATTTCCAAAATGACTGAAAATCTTTTTTTCCATTCTAAATTAGCTATCAATCTATTCTAAAAACAAGGAAGATCATTGAATTCAACTCAGTAATCATTCTTTTGTAATAGCAACTATGCAATTAGAGCTTGGACTAGAAAAATGGCTGAGGCATGAGCTGTACCCTTAAGGAAGTCATGTGCTGGAGAAGGAGGCTTTAATCATGTTACAATTATAATTATAATCTCTCATCATTTTAATGAATGGTTATACAGAGCAGAATACTAATGTCTGTCTTTAAACAGTGTTTTCCCAGCCTATAATAAATAAAGTGAAACCTCAGCTCTTGAAAACTCATTTCTTGCCGTTAATGGAGAAACTCAAGAAAAAGGCAGCCATGGTAGTGTCTGAGGAAGACCACCTGAAAGCTGAGGCCAGGGGGGACATGTCAGAGGCTGAACTCCTCATCCTAGATGAGTTCACCACGCTGGCCAGAGATCTCTATGCCTTCTACCCTCTCTTGATTAGATTTGTGGACTATAACAGGTATGATCAAAAGTAATTTAGTAATTTCCCCAATTCAGTGATAACCTTTCTTGGCTCACATGTCCTTCTTGAATCGCTTCATTCACTATTTGGCCATGAGCTTGTTGGTAATGATAACATAATTAATTGCTTATAGGTAAGTTAATTTTCGGCTTAAAATTAAAACGTCTTAAAATCAAAGTTGGTCATTTCATTCTGATTTGGCATGTAAAAGTTAACAGTTTGACAGTTATGATGTTTAAATTTTTTTTTTTAATGTTACAGCTCTATGCTGAAACCACCATGAGCTCTGTGGTCAGTACATTTAACTTTAGGAGGGTGATTTTTTTTTTAATTAACTTTAAGGAGTAGCTGTGAAACCGCTTTATTTATTATGTGATCCAGGGCAAAGTGGCTGAAGGAGCCTAACCCGGAAGCAGAGGAGCTCTTCCGCATGGTGGCAGAAGTGTTTATCTACTGGTCGAAATCCCATGTGAGTGTGAAAACATTGACAGATCACGCCTACTGTTTGGTAGGCACCTGCCTACTTGCCTCCTAGGTTTCATGTAACAGTTGAGGAGAGAGGATAGGTTCCCCTGAGGAGTTTGAGGGAATATAAACCCTCTTTTGAGTTTTGCAATTTATCTTCTTAAAAAAATCACAGGAATTTTTAATTGCACTCCATAAACATATTTTCAATTTGCCCCTAAATTTTAGACTAATATTGACGTTACATTAAGATGTACTATTTTTACTATTTAGCTTTCCCTATCTCTTGGCATTCTGTTCTCTTAATATGCAGTACTCAGTTTGAGATGTGCTTAAATAGACTAGCGATTTCCAACAATAACACACACTCATATTACTTGTAAAGGTACTGCTTCCATAAATTTGTTTTATCTTCACACACTTTACATCTACAGGAATTTAGTTTGGCTCACATTTTAGAATCTGTTGGCTTTTAAAATAAAGTTTCTTTCTACTGACAATCCTGTTGATAGAATTTCTAAAGGACATATTTGGTGAATTTTCACTATTTTGTATAGTGCAAGTAGAACTATACATTTTTAAATCTGGAAAAGATTTTAATCATAAGAATTGTATAATATTCTATCATAAGAATTGTGTAGTATTCTATCATTTATTTTCAGTAACTAGCAGAATATGGGTAATTCAGCATTGATGATTATCCTGAATTATTTTAAAAGTTTAGAATTTTTATATCTATTATAATTCTATGTCACTCTGTAAATGGGAGACAGAAAATAAAAATAAAAATTTCAACCTCAGTTTTATCATCTGAGCTATCTTACCAGTTTACTTCATCAGACTGTAAAATATTATGTGTTCAAATCAAATTACTTTGAACACATTATTTTTAAATAAAGTATTCACATTTAATATTTGGGATAATAAATATTATTTATTGCCTATATCTGAGGAGTCTGTCAAACTTAATAGGAAACTTTATATAATAACATACATAAAAACAATCACTCAGAAAGGATATATGAAATAATGATTTCTTAACATGCAAATTTGTATCTTCACAAGGATACAAATTTATTTATCCTGTGTAACTCATGTTTGGGGGATGCAATAGATCATCCAAGGTATTATGAAGGAAAATTCAAAATCCACTCTAAAAAGATAAATAGATTAGATATGTAGATAGACAGACAGACTGATAGATAGATAGATATGCATGCCCAGTGACAGGTGGGAACATTGCTTGACTTCAGGAGTTTGAGGCTACAGTGCCCTATCATTGCAAGCTGCATCCCAGCCTGGGTGACAGAGCCAGACCCTGTCCCTAAATACATACATGAATGAATGAATAAATAAATAAATTCCAGAAGAAATCAGTCCATTTTGAGTTGCCAAAGAACAAAGATGAATTTTTGCTTTTTGCCTCTTGTTTTTCCTGTTGGGTTACTTCACCTAGAATGCCTAATGGGAAAATAGGGGGATACCAGGAAAAAATTACTAAAAACTGCATATTTTTGCGGGGCGCAGTGGCTCATGCCTGTAATGCCAGCACTTTGGGAGGCCGAGGCAGGCGGATCACGAGGTCAGGAAATTGAGACCATCCTGGTTAACACGGTGAAACCCCGTCTCTACTAAAAATACAAAAATTAGCCGGGTGTGGCAGCGTGCGCCTGTAATCCCAGCTGCTGGGGAGGCTAAGGCAAGAGAATGGTGTGAACCCGGGAGGCGGAGCTTGCGGTGAGCCGAGACTGCGCCACTGCACTCCAGCCTGGGCGACAGAGCAAGACTCTGTCTCAAAAAAAAAAAAAACTGTATATTTTTATTTGAAGAACTGCAAATCTTCAGCTTCCTCAATCATTAAAATGCTGAAGAAGTGTCTTTAGATTTAGGTACAAGATTAAAGTTTGGAACAAGAGTATTTATCATAATCAGTCGGTTTTCAGATGAACGTCTAATCATACTTTCAAGAATAAGCAAAAATATCTGAATATGTACTTTTGAATCTCATGGGCATATATTAATATAAACATAAATTGGCTAATGTGTTATGTTTTTCCCCAAATATTTAAAGATAAATTGATTTTGCTAGTCTTTTTATGTTCCCAAATTAAAAGGGAATAAATAATGATATGGTATTTTAAAAAGAGGTAAAAAATCTGACAGAATAGAAAGTTACATCATAGTTCTATGCGTCCTTGGAAAGTCTAGGTTAATTAATCTTAGGAATCAGTATATGCCTTTCACCAGCTGATCAGGGGTTTGAATATTCATGCTACTCCTTGGTAAACGTGTGATCTTGCAATTACATTTTCTGAACCTTAGTTTTCCCATCTTTGCAATGTGCATATTCATATCTAGTTCACAGAACTGTTGCTCCCAGCCAAGTACCCTCATTAGATACTCAAGAAATACTTGTATCCTTTTTTGATGTTTCTTATATATCAAATTAATACTTATCTCTGTAAAAGCTTGCAGGTTCTGTGTAACCTCTAATTACAAAGACTTCTTTAAGTGGTTTTAACTGAAATTTCCTTTGCAACTTCTCAGAATTTCAAAAGAGAAGAGCAGAACTTCGTTGTACAGAATGAAATCAACAATATGTCTTTCCTTATTACTGATACCAAGTCCAAGATGTCCAAGGTACGACTATAAACTGTTTCACTCTTCTAGAAAATATCCGAATGTGACTTTCATGAATTGATCTTTTTTTTTTTTTAGATTTTCGAAGATTTGTAACTGGAATCTGATGGATTTGGTAATGTTATAAATTGGTTAAAACACGCAAGCTGTTTTAAGGTTACTGGAATTTGTTTGAATCAGGTGTGGTTAAGACATGCAGATGGGAAATGACTGTCATGAAGGAAGTCATTTCTACTGACAGATCCCTGGAAACCGGAGGCATGCCATGCCAAGCAGGGCCGTTGGGGAGAGGTCAGGGTTGGTCAGGAGGCAGAGAAAGCAAGGAGAAGACGTGGGTGAGAGCTTGCCTCATGGTCTCCACTGGAAGGAATGGACAAGACATGGCAAATGGGTTTCTGATTGGCTAATTTGAATAATTTTCAGGGGCTCCACATCAGAGAGACTGTTCTTGGTTGCCTGGTACCTAGTCCCAGAGTGATTAGGGCAGGTGGATAGTAGCCCAGAGTATAAGAGCCCCATGGGGGAGGTGGGGGTCAGTGTGGGCTCTGGATTAGTTGATTTGTATACAAAAAGCAAGCTTCCCGGACCAAGGAACCCATTTCCTCCTATAGGAATTGCCTAACCATGGGAGGGACTGCTGTCTTCCCAGGATTAGCAATTCTCCAAGATGTCAGAGCAACAGAATAAAGACATTCTTCACACACACGCACACACCACACCCCACTCACAAAATTATCAGTCAGTATAATGTGTGTTTAACACGTCAACACTATGTATCCATCAGGTGTGAATATTTGTGTGCTTATGTGTACCAAATAAACAGACCTCAAAATAAGTTCGCTGCATTATTTAAAAGCCACATGGACGAATTCCAGGTTCTCACACATGAAGTGGGAAGTATCTTTCTAGATTTTTGTTTTCTCTATCGTATTGGGGAGGGGAGGAGCTTCCATTTACAGCATGTTTAAAGGGCTTTGTATATGTAATTCCTGCTAAATGAGAAATAAATATATTACATGTGGTGATATTTGGCAGCCAAATGGCCAAAGATCCAAAAATGAGTGGTACTCAGGCAGAGGAAATTAGCCTCTACTGACTCAATACATTCTGGCAACAGAGTAGCTTGGGTATACCCACTCCACTGACCTCCAGAAGTCACCGGATCCTCAGGCCTGCTCTGCCATCTGCCACCAGGGAAATAGAATGGCATTGCTTGATAGGCCTAGTCTTGTTTAGAGTTTTGAATGCCATGTGTTTGACCTGACAGCACATGAACTAGAAGCTAATGCCAGGAGAAGTCTGTGTATTCCTGTACAGACATCCTTTTCCTTCTTTTCCATCAGTCGAGTCCAGTGATTCTCAAAGATGCTCTCAAAGCACTGCACATTGTAGAACGTAGAGTGAGATATCCATAAACATTGGCTAATAGTAACACAGTTTAGTCTTATTTGCAAGAAGAAAAAAGGGAAGTAATGGGTAAGAGCCTCTTAATTTTAACATTTCTGACCCACAAATTTTCTCAAACTGAAAAATTGAGTTTGTTTTTTTTTTTTTTTTAAATATATGACTTATAGTACTCTGAGACAAAACGTATAGAAAATGATAGTAATTCTCAGGGCTTTGGGAGGTTGAGGTGGGAGGACTGCTTGAGGCCAAGAGTTCGAGACCAGCCTGGGCAACATAGTAAGACCCTATCTCTACAAAATATGTTAAAAAATTAGCCAGGTGTGATGGCACACACCTGCAGTTCTAGCCACTTAAGGAGGCGGAGGTGTGATTATTGCTTGAGCCCAGGAGTTCAAGGCTGCAATGAGCTATGATCACATCATTGTATTCCAACTGGGGCCACAGAGTGAGACCATCTTTATAAAAAAAGAAAGAAAGAAAGAAAATAATAGTAATAAAGTTGAAATTTTTAGAAATTACTGATTATACTTAGCTTCTTTATTTTTAAAAGTTTAAAAAAATTATTTGTAATTTTATATCACGTAGGTATAATACACTTTTTTTTTTTGCTTGAAATAATGTTTCTAGTTCAAACAATAGAGTCAACACATTCATGTTTTATATCGTTGTGCTCAAGAAATCATGATGTCCACATGTTTCAGTGTGTGGACAGATCTGAGAGTAATTATGTCTGCCATAGAAGCACAGGAACTGCAGTTTTTCAGCATTATTGGGGGCTCTGCTGAACCTGGATGGCATGAAGGACCCAAGCCTAGTGCCGAGAGTGGTTAACAGGAGGATTGCCGTAGGTGTTACCTATGAGGGGGAGTGGATGCAGAATTGTTTCCCCCATAATGCTGAGAAGGGAGAGATGCCGGGTGCTTCAGGGATTCTTGTAACAAGATCTCAAACCATCTGCCTGAGGCATCAAAGCAGCAGAGAGAGCCACCCTGCAGAGTTCTCAAGGAAAAAGGAACTCCTTTCAAACAGATTTAGACCAAATGCAAGTAGAAACAGGAACCAGAGGACAAGTGATTCCTATCAGTCTTCAGCCAGTCACTCAAGCAAAGGATAATCACTGTTTGTATGCAGTGCCAGTTCCAAAACTATTTTCTAAATAGAAAATAGATTGAAGCCAGCAGGCCAGTCTAGAATATGGTGATCCGGGAGAAGGGACCTCATTTTGACATAGAGCAAAAGGTACATAGCTCACAAGGCAGAGAGAGGCCAGTGCATAGAAAATTGGCCATAAGGAAAGAAAGTGACCACCTATGTGTGGCATGGAAACCCTCAGGGATATGTGTAATGGTGGTGATCACTGTGAAAAGTGGACCTTAGTTGACTTTTACTCAGTATGTCAGTTTGCATATGACAGAGCTATATGTATTATGATGCAAAAGTAACCCCGGTGTTTGCTATTACTTTCAATGGCAAACACTGTGATTACTTTTGCACCAACAGAATAGCATATGACTGCTTTCTCTACAGCGAAGCCTTTCTCTTTCTGCTTTCCCATGTGCCCTCTTAGCCCTTGGTTTCTCCTAGCAGGGCACGTGGCCCCTTGTTCTGCAGCCCATCTGTGACTTAGATATCTGTCCCTCAAGGGCAGGAAACATATGTCATTCACTTGGTAACTCTAAAGCTCAATGCAGTGCTTGGTGCCTAGTAGCTACCTAATTAATATGGATGAAATAAAATTTGATTTGAAAGAATTTATAAATGTGGTCATTGGGCTTTTAAAAAATGTATCTTATTTTACTTTGCATTTACTGACTCACTGTTGCAGTGGTACGAAATCCACAGTGGCACCACATTATATGGCTAGCATTGCTGAAATTTGTAATAACATGTTTGAAATTTTCCTAACTTGTCTTATGAAACTTGGGGTTTTTGTAACTTATTTTAAAAAACATAGACCAGGCCAGGCACGGTGGCTCACGCCTGTAATCCCAACACTTTGGGAGGCCGAGGCAGTCAGATCACCTGAGGTCAGGAGTTTGAGACCAGCGTGGCCAATGTGGTGAAACCCCGTCTCTACTAGAAATATGAAAAATTAACCTGGCGTAGTGGCGGGCACCTGTAATCCCAGCCACTCAGGAGGTCGAGACAGGAGAATCGCTTGAACCCAGGAGGTGGAGGTTGCAGTGAGCCGAGATTGTGCCATTGCACTCTAGCCTGGACAACAAGAGTGAAACTCTGTCTCAAAAAAACAAAACAAAACAAAACAAAACAAAACCAGATAGATAGATAGATAGATAGATAGATAGATAGATAGATAGATAGATAGCATTGATAGATAGCGTTTATTACAGGTTCTCTGTGTTTATTTGTGGGTGTGAGAAAAGGTGGGTTTTGCCTGTTGCATTACACAATTGTACTCTATTTTTTTCTTAAGATTTCATTTCCTGTCGAAATATAATCACAGGCCTTGAACATTTAAAGCTAGGCTCATTTTTATAATTACTATATCTAAAACACAAAAAGGTATCTTTTTGTGGGTTTTTTTTTTTTTTTGGTAGGCTATTTCATTGTAGGAATATTAGAACATTTTTTGTAAGTTCCCACAGAAAGGTCCTGTGAAACCGATTAAAACTGTGCTTCCCGTTCATAATGTGGTAAAGGAGAGAGCTTGGCTTTCAGAGGCAGATCAGCCTGGAGTGCTGACTCTGCCACTTTATAATCCCTTCACTCATCTTAAACCTCATTGTTGGTAGCAGCAAAATGCTTGTCATGTTGCTTACCTTGATGGAGGCTTGTAAACATCAGAATAATGTGTGTATTGTGCCTCGCAGATTGTAGGCATGCAACAAATTTTAACAGATATGAATTGTAGTAACAAATTGATAAAGTTAAAGTGCAACTGGATATCTAACAATCATATAGTTAATAAGTACTTAGAAAACGTATGAGACAAAGAAATTGGTAAGATAGTCAAAGATGTCAGAGGTAAGTGAAGATTTGAATAGGTATTGAAAAATGAGTCTTTTCTAGATGGGTCATGAGGAGAGAGGGTGGTGGACCCTGCTACTATCCCATTTTATGCAGCCGTAGCACTGCTTTTGCTCAAGTCTAATAGTATCTTTGAAAAAGAGTCTGTTTGATGTCTTTCTTATTTTCCTGGTCCACTATTAAATTTAAGGCTATTTTATGTGAAATCGTTACAATCATATTTGTATGTTTGTGGGTGTGTGAGAGAGATGAGGCAGAAGCAGAGGTTGATTGATTGACTGATTGATTGATTGATTGAAGAAAGGGCTTAGGTGGCCGGACGCGGTGGCTCACACCTGTTATCCCAGCACTTTGGGAGGCCAAGGCAGGTGGATCACGAGGTCAGGAGTTCAAGACCAGCCTGGCCAAGATGGTGAAACCCCATCTCTACTAAAAATACAAAAAAATTTAGCCGGGCATGGTGGTGGGCACCTGTAATCCCAGCTACTTGGGAGGCTGAGGCAGAGAATTGCTTAAACCCAGGAGGCGGACACTGCAGTGAGCCGAGATCGCACCACTGCACTCCAGCCTGGTAACAGAGCGAGACTCTGTCTCAAAAAAAAAAAAAAAAAGAAAAAAGAAAAAGCACTCAGTTGATTGATTTAAGAAAAGGCTCAGGTTATCCCACTTTCCTTCTTAAATATGCCCACATATGGGCCATGTTATTACATCTTCATAACTGATCCAAATGCTCAGATTGAAAATGAAAAAGTGTGCAAATTCATTAGCTTTGGCGGCTCTGTTTAAATTATCAAGCTGCTCCTATGAGCAAGGCACAGTGCTTGGCTTTGAATACAGAGAAAGGACAAAACAGGTTTGGCAGCTGCCCCAAAGGAGCTACATAGTTTGACGAGGAAATAGGCACTAAACAAATGAACAAAAAATACCCAATATGTGTGTACAGGAGGATATTTTATTGCTTATAGATTTAATTTCCTCATATTAACAGTGATATCACCCATAAATATTCAAATATTTACTACTCTTTCCAGTTCTAGATTTCTTCTCGGGTGGAAAGCAAAATTATTGTTTGTGTATAAGTAGGAATTCATTTGCCTAGTATTACTCAAAATTGAGTAATTTGTAGATGCGTTTAGTGTTGATTATTTTTATTATAAGCTCACAAATATTTATAAATATTAAACCAGATATAAGCTCCGTCTGCCTCTACGACCATAAAACCAAAAGAACTTTCCAGGTTAAAATCAATGAAAACTCTAACACCAACAAATTTAGACTAGGAAAACTCCAAACCAATACAATTTAGACTACACTGGGGATGTTGCTTTGCTGAAACTAAATTACTAGTATTGGATTGAAGTATGTCTGTATAATTTGTATCAATTTGCTTAATTTTTCGGATAGTGGTTCTTCATTTGGGTAATTATTTTTATCATTTTAGTTATGTTGTTGTTTGAACAAAGAGCCCATTTTAAATGACTGATCCATTTTTTAATGAATTAATCAACTTAACAGTACAAATTATTCATCATGTTTTTCCTAATAAACTTAGAATAATCTCTTACAAGTTGGTACATATAAAAATGGGATTCATACAATAAGCACATCTTTTTGGAACAGAAGTGTGATTCTTACTGCTATGGTTCAGAAAATTATAGGTTTAACATATCAATATATAGTATAATTATTACACAATAAATTTTATAACGTAATACAGAAGCTACCATTGCTGTATGGTGACTTACTTGTTTCACTACTTTTGCTATCCTAAAAATATCTTTCAACCTCATGCTATGATATATTTTACCTTCTGTTAAGTAAAACAGATCATTTGTATATTAAATTCTGTTTTGTTTTTTTCTCAGTAGCCCAAGACTATTACAATGTATTTATATTTGTAAATATTAAAACATTTTTCTTTATCATTTCATTATCATGGAACTATGTTGCAAGTTTGAATTCCTGCTACCAAATATTTGACATGCACAAATAAGTGGATGTGGCACAATTATTTTCATTTTGACATTAGAACATGCCCTCTTGATAGAATACTCATTACCCAGTGAAAGTTAGACTCTGTCATTTAAGGTGACCCTGTGTTGCTAGCATAAGCCTCAAAAACATCATGAGAGAGCCCTTGAGTAACATGGCAGTATTCAATTGTAAACTGGTTATCCAGATAGTCCTGAGTATTTATGAAACTCCGATGAGTATATTACTTCTATTTCTATTAGACAGGGACTGAGGCTCTAAGAAGACAAGTTTGCAGACTGTATAAAAGAAAAATGCATTTTGTAATTGTTCTAGATATATTAGATCTCACACACACACACACACATACACACACCATATACATGTATACATATTTCAAAGCAAGCATTTGTCAAAGGAAAAATAAGCCCTTTATTCTTATATTTCTTTCTTAAGCATTGAAAATTAGAAAGCACACAACATCTGAAATTACTATAGCATTTTTATATATTTATCTGCTTCCCTAAAATTACAATTTTCATTTTTCTTCTAAAAATTACATGGGAATGCATATCAGTGAATTACAATAGGAATCTGAGGGCAGGACTTAAAATTAGCAAAAGGTGCTAAGATGGGAAGAGAAAAATTATTTTCAAGACAGGAAGATTTTCAAAACTAGGGAGCAGCAGAAAATGAGGAAGACGAAGTGACAAGTTAGAGAAGAGTCGTAGTGGTTCTACATGTGAGAGAAGCAGGTTCAGATCCCAGCACTTCTCTTGTTCCACAGGCAGCTGTTTCTGATCAGGAAAGGAAGAAAATGAAGCGCAAAGGAGATCGGTATTCCATGCAGACCTCCCTGATTGTAGCAGCTCTGAAGCGCTTACTGCCCATTGGGTTGAACATCTGTGCCCCAGGGGACCAGGAGCTCATTGCTCTAGCCAAAAATCGATTTAGCCTGGTAAGTCTCCTTTTCATCCCAGCAGTAATGATCGTCTGACCTCCAGACTCCCAGTGTTTGATTCCTTTGTCTCACTGCCCTGTGTCAATATTTCGTTTGCATGACATGTTTTATTAAGCAGGTTTTCTAGACAGGTCCCAAGACTCAAACATAAAGGCTGCTTCTTTCTTTTTTTTTTTTTTTTTTTTTTTTTTGAGGCTGTTTTTATTTCTAAGTTATGTTAATCACCTCTGGGGCACATTCAAGAACCAAACAGAAAAGATACAAACCAATCTCCGCTAGTGAAAAAAATGGATTTCATATAAACTTCTATAGAAAGTTTGTGATGAGAAGTATATTCAAATTTATGAAGGGTGATTTTTCAATGTTAGAAGCATAATATATTGTGCCAACTGTGGGTAGATAAGGTGTTGACTTTTAAATCAGCTGCTGTTCTCCTCTGCAAGATTTAAGTTCTCAAGATTTTACAATGTCCTCTAAGTTTCTGTTCTTCATAGCTATGCAAATGAGGATGCAGTATTTTGCACACTGGAATTTCTATTTTATATTTATGTAAATTGGAGGACATAGTCTACATTCCACATTGAATCACTGAAGCTCGTCACTGTACGTGCAGCATTTGATATTCTAGAATGAGTGAATTGAGGGGAAGCTGTGGGAGTGGGCTGCATCACGCAGCTCTATTGGCAGTTCTCTAGAGTTTCATTCTCAGTTGCATTTCCCTCGCTATTACTAGGTCATGGAGGATGTTATTAAGGGCTAAACTGACTTTGTGGAGATTTGGAAGAATACTGGAGATATACTTCTATTTCAGTCCAAGAAAACCCCCTTCTTGTTATGAATTGGAAACTTGATTCCATTGAATTTTAATGTCCTTACTGTGGAGGTAAAGCAGGTCATTACCTTGCTTCTGGCTATAGCAGTCTCAAGAAATTATTTCAATAATTACATGCCAAATTTGTGGCATGTAATTTTATAAAGGTGTTTCTTAGACATATACTATTTCAAAAATGGTTTGGATTGTTTCTATTGACTTGTGACAGTTGATGCAATATAAGACTCCTTTTAGGTAACATATATTTCTTGACAGAAAGATACTGAGGATGAAGTACGAGATATAATCCGCAGCAATATTCATTTACAAGGCAAGGTAAGCCAAGTTTTATTCTTAAGCCACATTTACTATTTATACATTAGTTAATCTCTCTTTAAAATAGTACTACAAATAATGTTACTTTAAACATTAAGGTAATGGACGTATTTTAATTAGTCATTATCCTACTTGCAAAGCCTTTTCTATTAAAAATTCTAAAGATAATAAATGATATATTTTTAAAGAAAATTACCAGACATGATCAAATTTTGGAAAAAATATATATCACCAGTTGAAATACAGATTGGATGTATTCTTTTGATAGATGGGTTTTAGGGTCTTTTGGACACAGAGACAGGTGTCTATAAGAAAATGTTGGCTAGGCACAGAGGCTCACACCTGTAATCCCAACACTTTGGGAGGCCGAGGCAGGTGGATCACTTGATCCCAAGTGTTTAAAATCACCCTGGACAACATGGCAAAACCCCATCTCTACAAAAAATACAAAAATTAGCTGGGTGGTTACACACACCTGTAGTCCCAGCTACTTGAGAGGCTGAGGTGGGAGGATAGCTTGAGGCTGGGAGGCGAAGGTTGCAGTGAGCCAAGATCATGCCACTGCACTCCAGCCTAGGCAACAAAGGGAAACCCTGTCTCAAAAAACAAAAAATTTACATGAAGTGATCAGTAATTAAATATATATATATATTAAGAGTCATTAGTCTATAGGTGAATCAGGCCATTCTTGCATTGCTATATAGAAACATGAGACTGGGTAATTTATGAAGAGAAGAGGTTTAATTGAGTCACGGTTCTGCAGGCTGTACAGAAAGTGTAACATGGGCATCTGCCTTTGGGGAGGCTCCAGGAAGCTTACAATCATGGCAGATGGTGAAAGAGAGGCAGGCATCTCACCTGGCAGGAGCAGGAACAAGAGCAGTGAGGAGGGAGGTGACACATACTTAACCAGATCTCACGGTCTCAAGGACAGCACCAAGCGGATGCTGCTAAGCCACTCATGAAAAATTTGCCCCATGATCCACTCGGCGCCCACCAGGCCCCATCTCCAATACTGAGGATTGCATTTCAACATAAGATTTGGGCAGGGACATAGATCCAAACTATATCAAAAGGCTATATCGAGATTTGCAGCAATAGGAATAAATGAGTTTCCCTAAGGAGAAGAGAAGAGTGTACATTTAGAATAAAAACATGGATGGAAATCTATATAACACCTACTTTTTAATGGTGGGTGAAAGAATTGTTAGAAGTAGTTTCGGCAATCCAGTGACCATTTACTATTATTTGGAAATTCTTGTATATCAGTGAATAAATTATTCATTTATTTATAAAACCTGTGATGCAGTTTTAAAAGTCAAGCTGGTGTTTTGACTCAGCCTGTTGTCTTCTATTCTGGTGTCACTTCTCAGGATTTTTTTAAATTATGAAAATATGCGAATGTCAAAAAGTAGCAACAACAATATAATATATGCCTTTCTGGGTATTAAAATGTCTCTTTTCAAAGATCCAAATCAAATTCTTTTTAAATTAGCATTTTAAAGAATAATATAAAGGTGAGACATGCCTTCACCATATTCACAATGCACAAGTATTTATTTAGAGCAAATTTCATGTGAAATTTGATGTGTACTCAGTTGTTTACTAACAATTCTTTTAGAGTGAGATTAATTACTATTAGAGTATGATCTCTTTTCAGATAGCCAGAATAATTTGAACATTTTTTTGAAAGCTTATAAAGCCTCTATTGGAACTTCAGAAGAAGAGTTTACACTACAAACATTTTTCCCCTTTAGGGAGAGACATTAAATGTTTTTACGTACATGGGTATTTGAGAAGATCAGGTACCCCATGAAAGGGTGCTGGGGATCCCCAGGGGACCCTGGACCACACTTGGAGCACCGTTATCTAGTTCAACAATTACTGAGTTAGGGACAGAGAGTGCTCAGTACCTCTTAAGAGGAGTCTGGGCCAATCTCAAGAAATGGTCAAATAAGGGGGTTTATGATTATAAGCAGAAAAAGGTTTGTCCATTATATTCTAAAGGTCACTTGTAAGAATACTTTGGACTTTTAGATGACATGTTAGGGAAAGAGGAAGAAGGAAGAGAGCAAAAAAGGAAACACTGATCGTCAGTATTTCACCTCCAAATGAATAAGGCCTGAAAATAAAGAGGTAATGAATAAATATTCATCTTGTCATTTTATTCTACACTCTCTTACACTAGGAGTTAGGCAGGCATATTGAGATACACAGATTTTCAAAAAATGAATTTTTTTATTCCTAACTTCTTGAATACATTGTCTTGAAATTACAGGGCTATTCATCCTGAGGCCAGAGGAGTAATTTTATGTTAGAATAAAGATTCTACCTTATTAATTATGTTTATGTATTAAATAGAACTAAGAGTACAGATTAAAACCTGTAAGTATCAAACATAGTCCTCAGACTTAAAAAGTATACGGATGAAAACATTTTATTTTATCAAAGGATAAGTAGTCTTTACAAGTCATTTATATACAAAGCTCTATCTGTCTGTGTTTGCCTGTAGATGAAAGTTATTTTTGACATTGTGAACTATGCACTCTCAGTCTGGGAGTTGTGAAGTTTTAGATGTTTTCTATTTCTGCTTCAAAACATTCAGTCTCCCATAATGGAGATTCTAAAGTGGAAGAAAAGACACGGGGATTGCTTTGTCCATTTTTGTTTGTTTGTTTGTTTTTTGTTTTTTGAGATGGAGTCTCACTCTGTCAGCCAGGCTGGAGGGCAGTGGCGCAATCTTGGTTGACTGCAACCTCTGCCTTCCTGGGTTCAAGCGATTCTCCTGCCTCAGCCTCCCGAGTAGCTGTGATTACAGGCGTGCACCACCATGCCCAGCTAACATTTTGTATTTTTAATCGAGAAGAGGTTTCACCATGTTGGCCAGGCTGGTCTCAAACTCCTGACCTCAAGTAATCCACCCGCCTTGGCCTCCCAAAGTGCTGGGATTACAGGTGTGAGCCACTGTGCCTGGCTGCTTTGTCCATTTTTAATAACATACTTATTGTATATTATTTCTTTGAACTGATATGTTCTATCCCTGTGAAGTTGCTTGCTTTTGTCAATTTCTATGACTTATAATAATGTTTCTAAAAAACATGAAGATTTCATATACATTTTTCACCGAGGAAATTTGATGGTATTGAAAAGTGAAATGTGTAGACTCCTTTATGATGAGTATGATTTTAACAACCTCTATTGATTAATATAATTTAATATCTTTGTCTCAGCGAAATTAAACTCTGTTGTAGAGTCCAAATATTTATAGGTAAATGCTATCCTATATGCTTGCTGATAAAAGTAAACATAGAAATCTTTCTACAATTAGACTGTGAATGGGGAGGAGAAAGAGCGAGGGTAGCCTTACCCATTTTGTTCTCCAATTTCCCACTCATCCTTAAGCCCTAGTTACAACGTCTTGTGTTAAGGGAAATCTCCCCAACCACCAAAGAGTAGGATAAATCTAATGGTACTTTATATTTCATTTTAGTAGCCCTTATCACAATTATAAATATTTGTTTAATGTCTATCTTCTCTAATAGATGATAAATTTCATGATGACCAGGACTTTATCTGTCTTTCTCTCTTAGTATTTTTGATTTTTAATAATTGTACATAGTTAAGGTGTCCAACAGGATGTTTCAATATACATAAACATAGTGACATGATTGGTGTAGTCAGACAAATTAGCATATCTATCTCCTCGCAGAGTTACCTTTTGTGTGTATGTGCTAAGAGCTCCTGGAATCTACTCTCAGCAGATTTCCAGTATGAATTGCAATGTTATTAACTGTAATCACCATGCTGTACATTAGATCTCCAGACCTGTTCGTCCTACATAACTGCTGCTGCGCGTTACGTTTTAACTAGTAAACACTGTAAAGCCCAATAAATAATGGTGGGTGGACTCTTCCCATCTTGAGATTGTAACCTTGTCTTTTAGATTCCCATCTTCCCATTGTAACCTTTTCCTTTTTCCTGCAGTTGGAGGATCCTGCTATTAGATGGCAAATGGCTCTTTACAAAGACTTACCAAACAGGACTGATGATACCTCAGATCCAGAGAAGACGGTAGAAAGAGTATTGGATATAGCAAATGTGCTTTTTCATCTTGAACAGGTCAGGCTTTGTGTCAATTCAGTCATATTTGCCTTAGCCACATACAAATATTTTAAAAAGAGAATGTGTGTTGATTTGTTAACTGTGACCCAAAAAACATATATGTTCAGCATATTCGTTCTAAAGAATAAGAGTCAGGTGTGCTTAGGATTTCATGAAGACAATTTCTAAGCTTATAATTCTTGTAGCAATATATAGATTATATATTTTGGGAGATCCTGGCCTTCGTTTTATTGCCTTTTTTCAAATATTTCTGAAAATATTAGGATTATATATTTAAAATATTCTAACCAAAAAATTCAGGAGTTACATCTGATTTCAAATACTTTATGCGTACTTCATTTTTTATTATTGCTCCTAAAAACATGTATGAGATATTATCTTTTATTGGTTTAATATTTGAAATATTTTCTTTTTTGTCACTTGTTTAACCTTGCCTTTTATTAGGTATATTTTTGAGCTAATTTTCTCTGAAATCAGGAACAAATTACACTTAGAGAAGAACAATGCATTGATAGATATTAAAATCATGTAAGAAAAGTGTTTTTATAAATTTTTTCAGTTGTGTCCTACTTTACAAAGCTGAGTTTGATATTCTTATTCATTACCTTTGCACAAGAATGTGTAAAACAAGAATACTTGAAACATTATCAATCAGAGGGTCATATTTTTATAGAAGGGATCGCCTGGCTTAGGTAAAATATCTGCAACACAGAGATATATTATCTATTTCTCATCAAGTCCATTCAGCAAAATAATCACATAGTGAAGAAGCTCATTGTAATCTGACCATTGATCTGTCAGGGCTCTTATGACAGATCATACTGTTGATGACTTGGTTATTTTATACCAAATATGAAATAATAATAAGAGGTCGTATGCCATCTCAGGAACTTTGCCACCTAAATGTGTGTGTGTGTGTGTGTGTGTGTGTGTGTGTGTGTATGTGTGTGTGTGTATGATTTTGTATTGCCTTTAGCCATATTTGGACATATTATCATAGCAGTAATAAACATTTTGCTTGTATTCCTATTTTATATTATCTGAACCCTCACCCTTGCCCTGGACAGTTTAATAATGCAAAGATATCGTCTAATGTAGTATCCTTTAATTTCCTTCTTGCTTACTCAGATACCCTCCCCCAAACGTTAATAATTTCTCTATTGCCATGCAATTTATCACTACACTTGATGAGATTAAAGTCACTAGGATACCCTTAGGCCTTATGGCTATTAACATATATTTACAGTATCTAATGCCTTGGAACTAATACTTTCCCCAGAATAACTTACATAATATTTTCATGAAATATTAAATACAAATTATCATCAATCAGCAGATGACAAGACTTGTAATGAAATTTTAAGGGATTTATATACAGTCATGGAGTTATATCTCCAGAATTATATATATATATTTAAGATTATTAAAGGTTAATTAAACGGCTGCGAGAGGACCGCGTTACTCTACCATCAGTTTTTAATTCTTGCTAGTGTTTATACATATATGTAGATTTGCTTGAATAAATTCTAGATACATTAAATGAAGCTTATTGAAATCTGATTCTATTTTATTATATTCCCATATATTCATAAATATATCCAATCATGATGAATGATGGCACTTCTCAAATGAGATTCACTTTTCTAAGTATCCATTTATGCCTTGGATGTTTATGGAGTGTCCTGTCCTACGGCAGCCTTAGCCCCACCAGATCTGGAGGACTGAGTGCTGTAACAGAGGAAACAGACACGTAAGCAGATAAATATGCGATGATACGGAGGTGTTAGGATATAAAATGTGCTGAAGAAAGCATAGAAGCAACTCAAACTTAATGTAGATATGAACTAGGTAATCCCTGTATAAATCTTACGGTAGGAATTATCTAGAAAAAGATGGGAGGATCAGAGTTTATCAAACTGTTAAGAATATGGCAAGATTGGTTTATCATGAGAGGAGGGTTTTGAGTAAAAAGAAGTTGTCGATTATCAAAAATAAAAAGCAGTGGGAGATATCCGTGTGTTTAATTTATGCCTTTACTATCCCCACGCTAATGATAACATGTAACTGAGTCACAGAGGAGCGTGTAAAGAATATTTTAACTTGCAAAACCCAGTGTAAAAACAGTAGGTGGACAGGAAACACTTGTTGATTTAATTTATCTCAAGTATCAGCGGCCTGTTTTAGATGTATATTTTGTGTTGTATATCTGGTAATGTTTCTTATGAGAGCAGGTTTTCTCCACTGAATTTTCTAATAATCAAATTCTAGCCAAGCTAACACATCAGCACATCAAGACATTCAGACAGAGTTACAAGATACATCTTGGTGTTCGCCTTTGGATCACATATCTTACAGATAACTATTATAATTGATTTAGAGGAAAGCACACTGTTTCAGGTATTTCCTGAAATACTTGAATAGGCAGGTAATAAATGCCTGCCAAATGATAAGCTTTCTGGTGGCAGGAACCCTTTCTGTTGTGATGTTTACTGTATCATAAATGCCTTAGGAACTTAATATATGTTTGTTGACTGTCACCCATGCCGACCATAATGCTGTAATTCCTGCAAAAAGTCATCATCTACAGACTGGGATCTCAAAGTGGAAATTTAAATTGAAATATGTTGGGTCTCATTGAAAACTATTGCCCTTGATTGCTTTTACTTTGATGTTAAGGCATAACATTGGTTTATTTCACTTGACACAAGCATCAAGAAGATAATTGAAGTGGATAATTGTCAAAACGTGTTTATTGATCCTAGAGAGGGAAGAGCATCACAGAAATAAGTGCTTTTCCATTAAACATGTTGCTTTGTTAAAATTTCTAAACCATTGCAGCCCAAACATTTTAAATGTTTACTTCAGACATTATTACAATCATTTTTGACTCTTTACTGCAAAGAATAATAAATGTAGTTTTACTTTTTTAGCTAACATAACATTTTTATTTCTTTCAGAAGTCTAAACGTGTGGGTCGGAGACATTACTGTCTGGGAAGTACTGTGCTCAATGGCCTAGAGATTACTAATTAATTTAGGTTTATATGTTGGGATTTTTTCTTTCTAATACAATTAATCTCTTTCTTCTCTTGGAGTTCCAAATACTATTAGTTATATAAATAACTTGCTTGCATCATTTATTGCAACTTTTGAATTTATATTTGTCCCTCTCTAACAAAATATTTACATATTTTAACATTTTTACCAAATTTACTCACTCCTAATACTGTGTTCACAAAGCATTGTCTTCTTATCTTTATCCTGTTATATTAAAGAATAGTAGAATTTTTATTAACTGTCTCTATTTGTGTTTATTACTTTAGCTCTTAATAAAATTACAGTTACAATGGATACATAAATAAGAATGAGGTAATATTTTCTGTAGGCAGAAAATATGTATTAGAATCATAAGGAACCAAAGAAAATTTTGAGAAGGAGATAAAATGATTTTACGTGGAATGATTTTCTATTTCTTTGATTTTAGAGATGACATAGCTTGGAAGTACACAGTATTGGGAAAATGTGATATTCTTACTAAGGGAATTATATAGCATTTGCAATTATCTAAACTTTATCTCTGGGTAACTTTTAGGATATGGACTTCTCCATGATAATCTTAAGGTACTTTTGGAATTGGAATTGCAAATATAGGTTACTTAAGAGGGGCAACTGTTTAATACTATATTTTTGAAGATAGTTTGGGGTATAAATAGTTATTTATTTTTGAAGGTAGTTTGGGGTGTAAATATTTATTTGTGTCTTTCTACCTCAGGTGGAACATCCTCAGAGATCTAAAAAGGCTGTATGGCATAAACTACTCTCTAAGCAGAGGAAAAGGGCTGTTGTCGCCTGCTTCCGGATGGCCCCCTTATATAATCTGCCAAGGTCAGAATTATTTTATTTTTTATAATAGATCAATGTTATTTTTTCCTAATAAGTGACAGGTGTTTAGAATCTACCTTAATAGGGGTACAATAGTCCAAGAGAAGGATGGAAAAGCTTTATTGATTCTTCTACGTAAAACTTGACTAATTTTGTTGGATATTTTCAGAGAACTGTGGTCTATAATGTAATTACTAAATGATGCTTACTGAGGAATATCTGCTCACATGTGTGAGGCAAGAGAGAGTCATTAGGAGATCATTCTTTGGCCTGGATTTGAATCAGACCATGATTTCAATCATTCTTTGGCATCAGACTTGTCTTGGTTTGAATTCTGACCTCCCAACTTCCCAGCCATGACATTGGTCAAGTTATTGACTGACTTTCTTTACAATTTTCTCATCTGTATCATAATGGGATCAGCCTCATAGAGTTGTTCAGATTATTTAATGGGTTGATGTATACAGAGTGCTTAGAAGTGAGATAATAAGTTCATGTCATGATAAATGTTAGTCATTATTATTATTTTTGTAATTATTAGCATTTGGGGAAAAGAAGTGACCTACTGGGAATAACGTAAAAAGATTTGACAGGCCCATCAACCTTCTCTTAGACATAGAGCAGACATACTTAATAGAGAAGTAGCCTGGTACATTCAAGTATGACTGAGGTGGTCCAGGGTACCATTTCAGCCACCTTATAATTTTCCTGAGAAACTATGCTCTTTCCCACTCTGAACTTTATACAAATTGCATCATTTCTATGTCTCGTAAACAGGACTCAGCTCAGCTACATCTCTTTTGTGGAACGTCTCTGACCAAGCCATGCCCTTCTACTCCTTGCACATCATACCACTTTCCTACAGTATTAAGGCTACCTGTCTCTTTGATTCAGACTTTGAGATTCCGTACTAGTTTTGTTCCATTTTCTTAGCACCTAGAACAGTGACTTGTACATTGACATTCAGTAAGAGTTTGAGTGAATGTGTAAGGCAAAGAAAAAAAAAGAAACAGAAGCAAAGCAAACAGATGAAACATCATACTTTTCCCTTTTGCTGAGACAGTTGTATTTCTTGCTATCATGTCACACTCACTGGGTCTAAAATGTGTTAGCATCCTCCTCAAATGTGCTACTTCTCAATTCTCTGACTCAATTATGCTGTCACCTTTTGATCAATAGAATATTAACCTTGATATCTAGAACCAGAAATACCATTTGACCCAGCAATCCTATTACTGGGTATATACCCAAAGGATTATAAATCATTCTACTATAAAGACACATGCACATGTATGTTAATTGCAGCACTGTTCACAATAGTAAAGACTTGGAACCAACCCAAATGCCCATCAATGATAGACTGGATAAAGAAAATGTGGCACATATACACCATGGAATACTATGCAGCCATAAAAAAAGAATGAGTTCTTGTCCCTTGCAGGGACATGGTTAAAGCTGGAAACCATCATTCTCAGCAAACTAACACAGGAATAGAAAATAAAATACCACATGTTGTCACTCATAAGTGGGAGTTGAACAGTGAGAACACATGGATACAGGGAGGGGAACATCACACACTGGGGCCTATCGGGGGTTGGGGGGCAATGGGAGGGAGAGTATTAAGACAAATACCTAATGCATGTGGGGCTTAAAACTTAGAAGATGGGTTTGATAGGTGCAGCCAAACCACCATGGCACATGTATACCTATGTAACAAACCTGCACGTTCTATACATGTATCCCAGAACTTAATGAAAGAAAAAAAAAAAGAATATTAACTTTGAATTCACATTATCATTTCTTTTTAGTTACTCCTATACTGTCGTTGCCCAGATTTAATCAGTTTCCCTTTGAACTACTTCACATTCCCATCCTTCCCTCCATCACCACCTCTTCAAGTCACTTGTTCCTTGACTCATATCAAGTTGATGGCAGTGGTTTCTGAGTTAGTTTCTGTGATGTCATAGAGTTCTTCAGTCTTCTCCAAAATGTCATTTTCAAAACGGTATCGTTTATTCCAATGGTTCCCCAACCTGGTGCTTTTAAGAAATACACGTAAACTCATTTAAAAAGTATTCAGGCCTCAACTTATTAATTAGAATTTCAATGACAGCCCAGCATGTGCTACTTAAAAGCTACACAGGTGACTCTAATAAACCAAAAAGGCTGAGTCCGTGCTTTGGCATGCCTCTCTCATGTACAAGAATGTCTGATGATTTCTAGCAGTTCTGGCTGCATTGGCAGTTGCCCTCTCTGGTTTTCAAGGCCCTTCACAAACCTATCTAACCGTTAGGTCTCATGAGCCCTTAACCCAGTTTGCTATCATAAAGCTCAGCTTTCTCCTCTCCTGCAATGGCACCATCTCTCGTTCTCTCACATCTGTTGTTGTTTTATGATGCTCCCTTCATGACATTCTTTTATTCTTTCTTGCATTGACATCTTATCCACATCGCTTACTGCATCGTGAATTTCACTGATTCTTCTCGTCTTCACTGGTCTTTTTTCATAGGCGGCCATTTATGATCAGTAGTGCAGGGTTTAATCTTTGAATATGTACTCCCATAATGTTCACTCAATAGCTTTTGTTTTGGAATCCTCAGGGCCATCCATTTGTTTTTAATGTTTGCTTAAACAGAGACTAACTTCTCTATTGACACTGATTACATTGCTTATTGAGAGACATGTTATATAACAATAGTCATCATTTAATGAACATCTAACGGATGTGATTTACATCGTTTATCTCATTGTAAGGCTTACAAAACTGAAATGTGGTTGGAGTTATCCTACTTTTATAAAGGAATAAACTGAAATTTGGGAAAGTTGAATCACTTGACCAACATTACAGAGCTTGGAAATGGCTGAGCCAGGATTTAAATGCGAGTCACCGTGTGCTCTGAGACACCTTGCTCTGTTTGCTGCAAGAAGCATTGTCTTTCAGAAGGAAAATCAAGAATAGGGAATTTATTTTTATTTTACAATTTTAGTGCACAGATAATCTAGTAGTAAAGCACTACTCGATACAATTTCAACTTATTTTCTAAACTCCCCTTTTTCTGAAATTGTGCTTACCTTTTAGGCATCGGGCTGTCAATCTCTTTCTTCAGGGATATGAAAAGTCTTGGATTGAAACAGAAGAACATTACTTTGAAGATAAACTGATAGAAGATTTAGCAGTATGTTTTTAAAGGGGTTCTGAGAGGAAAGAGGGTCTGGGCTTGGTGCAGCAATGTTGGTGTGAGCAGTCATTATATAACATTGAAGGAAAAAAACATCATGACAGTATATGGGCATTAGGAAACTTGTAAATCTTAATTGTTGCTGCATTCAATGCTTATGGGAAAATGTGCTCTTGTCATTTCCAAGAGATCTCATCAACACCAAGGGCTTGAGAATTTAAAATGAATAATATAAGTGTCTTATTAATTAAACCTGATTTACTCATTCTTTTAAATTCCTTCTCAAAGCACCTATAAACACCTGAGAACCAGGATAAACTATAAAAGACTGAACTGTAAAGAAGTTATCCACCAAAATTAAGTAGAAGGTGAACAAAAAGTTGCTGGTTTTTAAAAATCAACGGGGCAGAGAATGATAGACTGAACACAGGAGAGGTGGAAGGCATGGTAAATGTGGAACATGAGAAATAGAATTTTCACCCGACCGTGCTGATAAAGAGCTTGTGTACCGAGAGTTCGGCACAGAACAGCAGTCAGTATCATCTGTTCTAAGTGATGGACCCATTTAAATATCTGACAAAAGCCATCTTCTCAAGAAAATTTACAAGCCATCTCAAAACTTGGCAGACTAGTCAGAGGCTTCATGATTCTCAAGAGTAAAGACATCTTGTCCAAAAGCTATTTTTTAACTTACAGATTATTAGGGAATAGAATGGATAAACTAATCTAATTCTTAAAAGCCTAATCTTGATTGTCCCTATATTTTAAAATGAGTTTTATCTGTCTTTAGAGTAAAAAATATGTAGACTATTGGATATCTTGTGGAAATCTGCCCCATATCCACATTAAGGCTTAATTACAGGAAAGCACACCATTCATGTAGAGAGAAAATCAGTTTCTATGGGTAAGTCAGTGGAGATACAAAACTCAACAAAAAGTTGGATGTAATTGAATTCTACTGCCAATAAAAATGCTTAATAATTTTCCTCACTATTAAAGTTCTATCTGACAGTAAAATTTTTTTTTAAGTTTTAAAAGTAACTTTTGAAAATAAGGAAAAAAGTATAAGTGGTTCAAGCATTAACTCATTTAGTGTTATTTACCTATCATGCTGTGTGTAAGCAAAGAAAATGTTTCACTTTATAAGCAATTTGCACTGCTATGGGAACTAAATTTTCACACTTGGGGTGACTCTTAGGATTTTATTGCAAATATTTGTAAATCGAGCCCTCCCTAAAGCTGAAATCCATGTAGCAAATACACTTTGAGTTATGAAAATGCTTATAAGAATAGAATTTAGTATTTTTAAATGCTATAAGTTATCCTTGCTCTTATTATTTTTTAGTCAAATTATTAAATATCTCTGTTTCGAGCTGTATAATTTTGCAATGATACTGTAACAGATATCTAGCATATTATATTACATTTATATATGTTTAGTATATATATTACATATTTACATTTACCTGCAACACATATACATACATGCTTTTATATACACATACACACATATGTACATATATAGCGTGTATAATGCATATAAAATACACACACATGCTCACACACAAACACACACACACCCCCACAACAGGGAAGGAGGAGTGTTTGCATTCCTTTTGTTCTTCATTCCTGGCCTTCACATTGCTTTTGGATTTGAGTGAACATTTTTTTTTAAATGTGACATTTTATAAATTTGACTTTTTTGCAGAAACCTGGGGCTGACCCTCCAGAAGAAGATGAAGGCACTAAGAGAGTTGATCCTCTACATCAGCTGATCCTTCTGTTTAGTCGGACAGCTTTAACAGAGAAATGGTATGGTTGGAAGGGTTCCTAGGAGACATAGGAGGAACAAATAAAGAAACCTGTATCTGAGTATTCTGTGCCACGTGTTCATGTTTTAAGTTCATCTTGATGTTGTTAGGAGAGAGACTTGTTCAAAGATAACAACCAGCCTGGCATGGACCTAGGGATGGACACTCATTCAATTGTAGGCTTTAGCAACTACCTACTAGCTCTAGTTTTTCTTAACAACTTTGTAATTAATGATGTAGTTGATTCTGATTCTTCTTATGAAATGGTTTTTCTCCTTATCACAAACAGCCTTTATAAATAAAACAAAAGAACCAAAGCAAATTCCAGTGCCACAAGTATATGGAGACCGATGGTGACCCCAAAATTTTCTGGGTAGATAGTGTCTCCATTGTGCAGTGGGTCTTAGGAAACCTCTAGAGGCTAAGTGAGCCATCACCTCAACTTGGAGGTATCTCTGAGATCTATTTCCAGGGCATTGCCCATTTTTCTTGTCTTCTGCAGCCTTAGTCATATGAATTCACCAAAGCCACAAAGGGCAAACCTCTATGAAGTTACATAAGAAATGCACTGGTTAGCCTGATCGTCAAAATGTGCTCAGCATCTGTCATTATGGAGAGCAACGCATACATTGGCTGTGCAGATGGGACATAGCAGAGGCTAGAGGACCTTTATCTGCTGCCCTGCAATGGGAAAGAAAGCCAGTTTTGCCCCAGGCCTTTCCCATTGTCTGTAGAATTTGGGATGTAATTTAATTATAAACTCATATCCACATGAATCTCCTCAGAAGAGTTCATTTGACCTCTTTGCATGCCATAATAATGTACATTTCTCCCTCTTAGCTAATGTGATCCATCCTTTCTCTCACTATTTCTCTCTCTTATTATTTCCTAACTAACAAAATCATCTCATTCCTAAGCATAGAACAACTCTCTGTCTGGCATTGTCAGGTAATGAGGTATTTCTCATAAGTGAATTTTTCTCATGGCTGAAGTTTAAAACTGCTGAAATAACTTTTCAAATTTTAGGTGTATTTATACTTCTCTTCACGTAGTCATGGTTTCCATGCTTCTCAAAAAAGAAGATAATAAACGTATTTTAACCTTTCTTAATTTTAAGGAATTGTTGTTATGGCCATCTTGTTTTTTAATTGTCACATCGTAATTTGGGGAATCTTTCCATCGAATGTCAAATTTGACTTCTGTCAAAAGCCCCCGCCTCATTTAAGTTTGCTTGTTTCAAGTTTTGTAGTCTGAAGAAAATTAAAATTATTACATTTGTTTGTAAACCAAAAAACAGTTTATTTTGTGAAAATTGAAGGCCCTTCTGTAAGGTAAGATGGGACAGCTATTTAGGATCCCCAGGATCTTTGCTTTCTGATTTCAGGATATATCTGAATATCCTAATATTGTCTAAGTTTTGTGTTCATTTAATTTTAAAAAAGGATACTCATTAGAAAAAGAACAAAGGTTATTTTGTACAGTGATGATAAGTTTGCATGTGCCTAGCCTTCTGCCTAAACACTGATGTTTTCTTCTTGTTTTCCCCAGCAAACTGGAGGAAGATTTTTTGTATATGGCCTATGCAGATATTATGGCAAAGGTAAATAAATATCCTTCCTGATTTTCATGTTTAATTTTAATAAAGGGAAATAACTTTCATCTGAAAAGGATAAGAATCTGTGTATTTGATTAATTTCAACTTTTTGTTTGTAGCATGAATCTCTGTTCTAAATTCCTTGGCAGGTCATCATTGTTTCCTACTTAAACATTTTATTTATGAGGAGCCATAACTTTTTCTAAACATTCATTCATTCAACAAATATTTGCTGGACATTAACATATTGGAGATAACATGTGAAGAAGAAAGAAGGGCACACACTACACCTTCGTGGAGGTTTTTGTCTGATGGGGAAGATAACATTTAAGCAAATGGTTGTAGAAAAATCCTGATGAATTTAATGGTAGAGAAATGTATCAGTCCATTTTTACACTGCTATAAAGAATTACCTGAGACTAGATAATCTATAAAGGAAACAAGTTGAATTAACTCACAGTTCCACATGGCTGGGGAGCTCTTAGGAACTTATAATCATGGCGGAAGGCAGAGGGAAAGTAAGTACATCTTACGTGGCGGCAGGAGAGAGAGAGAATGAGGGGGGGACTTTTAAACACTTTTAAACCATCAGATCATGTGAGAACTCACTCACTATCAAGAGAACAGCATGAAGGAAACTGTCCTCATGATCCAATCACCTCCCACCATGTCCTTCCCTTGACACATGGGGATTACAATTCGAGATAAGATTTGGGTGGGGATACAGAGCCAAACCATATCAAGAAATTCTTCGGAGTATTGGAAACAGGTCCCATGGCATAGCAGTGAGGTCTGCTTAAGGAAGTCTTTGGCTATTGAACCATGAGTTGACCATGCAAAATAGCACAGCTTCATATTAACTGAGTGTTTATGTCATTTACTCCTCTTGACAAGTAGATAAAAGTGGAGTCAGGGTTTTGCTGAGACTTCTCACTTGGGTACCATGTACCGAGATGGCAGCACCAGAATAATTACAGGCCTAGAGCGAAGAGAGAAGAAGGCGGCAAAATAAATTGTGAATGTGTTAAAGATGCCTGTGAGACATCTCAGTGGAGATGCCAAACATGCAATTAGACATCCACATCTGACATTCAGTATCTCAGGTAAGGCTTATAAATATAGACTTGGGATTTATCAGCATTAGAAGCCATAGGAGTAGATGATCGTACCCAGGAAGAGATGATAGCATGAAGAGATGAGGAGGCCTAGGACCCAGCCTATAAGGACACAGAACATTTAAAGATGGTTAGAAGGAAAGGAGCTCATAAAAAAGTCGGAGAGAACCTTAAGTGTGAGTTAACATAGGAGCTAGGAGCTATAGGACTGAGTGTGTGGTCACCAAAATCATATTCTGCTGTGAGGTTGTGCAAGGTAAGGATTGAAAATCTCCAGATTTATTTCATGTATTTCACATGAGCAGAGTAAGAACAGCTTCTGAGGATTGTGGAGAGGGGCCCTGGAGTGGGGACGTGCTGTAGTGTGGGAAAGTAAGTAGTGATTCAGATATGAACAGAAATAGTATAGTTGTTTCTTCATTGCAAAGATTGAGAGGGAACAGACAGATATAAGATGATAAATATCTAGATGGAATTGTGAGGTTGAAGGGGATTATTTTTGTTTGTTTGCCGTTCGTTTGCTTGTTTTTAAAGAGAGAGCAATCTAAGCACACATATATTCTGGTGAGGAGCGAACAGAATAGGAAAGGGAATCATTTGTGAAGTGAGGTCTGGAGTCCATGAGACCTGCTAGAGAAGACAGGTTACAGGACATGAGAGAAAAGCCATGGCTTTCTAATTTATTTTACACTCTAACCTACAGTAAGAAATACACTTACCCGGTACAGTCATCTCTCAGCATTCATGGGGGATTGGTCCCAGGACACCCAGTGGGATATCAAAATCCAAGGATGCTCAAGTCTCTGACTAATGGCATAGTATTTGCATGTAACCTACACACATCCTTCTGTATACTTAGATCATCTCTAGATTACATATAATAACTAATATAATGTAAATGCCATGTCAGTAGTTCAACTCTATCATGTTGTTACGCAATAATGACAAGAAAAATATCTGTACATGTTCAGTACAGACACAATCACCCATTTTACTTTCTCCAAATATTTCCTATCCACAGTTGATTGACTCCATGGATTCAGAACCCATGGAGGGCCAACTGTATATTTATAGAAACATAAAACTGTATGTTTAAAGTAACATAAAAATATATACCATGAAAGAAAAGTTTCATGAAATTTTACTCTTCCTATGAGCAATGTAGTCTGAAATTTTCCATTCTATTTAAACAAAGAGTTGTTTTTATTTTTTCATGTATCACTAAATTGTTTTTACATCTGAATGATGAGCTGAAACACCTAGTTCAATAAACACAGGGTTAAAAGATAAAAGGATAGGACTGGGCACAGTGGTTCGCGTCTGTAATCCCAACACTTTGGGAGGCCGAGACAGGTGGATCATTTGAGATCAGGAGTTTGAGAGCAGCCTGGTCAACACTGTGAAACCTCGTCTCTACTAAAAATACAAAAATTAGCCTGGCATGGTGGTGCATGCCTGTAATCCCAGCTCCTCAGGAGGCTGAGGCAGGAGAATTGCTTGAACCTGGGAGGCGGAAGGTTGCAGTGAGCCGAGACTGCACCACTGCACGCCAGCCTGGGCGATGAGGTGAGAGTCCGTCTCAAAAAAAAAAAAAAGATAAAGGGATAAAAGATACAAAGGATAAAAGATACAAAGGGAAGAAGGGAAGGCTGCCAGGATAATGGGATGTTGGAAATGTTTCCTTTTACGGTCATTTGCTCTCTCTCTCTGAAGACAAAAGTACAGTCATCCGCTGACACCGAAGTGTTTGGTAGAGTCTATAGAGGAAGGCTGGAGGAGAGAGAGAAGCACTGAAAGACACATCGTGGCAATTGGCATGGCACATGGGCTAGAAATTAAAATAGGACTCGCAGACTGTATAGGAAGCCTGGTTTATTTTAGGCTGTTGTCTATGAATTTGTAGCAGTCATGCTCCCCCTGGCTGTGTGAGGACAACTAGCAATTCTTAGAACCAAATGCAAATTCTGAGAAGCCGGGAAGTTAGATTCATCAAGGGTGCAGATTTCTGCCAGAGTCTAGTTGAGAACAGCAGATCAAAGCGGGTTTGTATATTGCTAGGAGGTGGCTTGTTAGGAAATGAAGAAAGAGGGAGGCGAGAAAGGGTTGTAGAGCAGCCCCAGGCCTGGGTGTTCTCTGCAGCTGAAGAATCGAAGTGCGCTGAACAGGTAGAAGCTCCTGGTTTGAGAATACGTAGAAGCTCTTGGTTTGAGAATAGGTTGTTTCTGATTGTTAGAGTTCTTCCTTGTGAGTGAAATTGAATTTGCCTCCATATTTATTTTGTTGGATCCTGAAGCTAAATCTAGTTTCTTTTGATAGATGGTTAAAAATTTGAGGAGGGCTATCTTGTTGACTCTTTACCTCAAGATTTTCCCCTTCATAATTAACTAATCATATTCCTTTTATTGTTTAATGTAACTCGGGGATGTCCAGCTTGCACCACTCAGTTTGTTACACTCTGCACATTCTCCATTATATTCATATATGCCACCCAGAAGTTAATCAAACACGGTATTCCAGTTATGACCTTACCTGTGTAGTGTGTATGGGGACTGTACCCTCACTTACTCTGCCTTAGGATCTTATACATTGGCCATCAATGGCAAGACTGCATTAAATTTTTAGCCAGATCACATCAGCTACCCTGTATTGGACTGTTGATTTTTAATTTTTTAATTAAGTATATGTCATCATTTCTCTAATTCAAGTCAGACCATTTCCCCAAGCCGAAATCTTTTTAACATTTGGTTCTGTCACCCACTGTTACCTCTTTCCATTTATATTAACCACAAACTTAATAAGTATGAGTGAGTTCTCTGTTTATCTAAGTTTTTGGTAAGCAGCTGATATTTTTATACCCTTTCCCAGACCGGTTAACCTACCTTATTTTTAATTCATCTAAACATACTTTTATAAAACTCATATTTCTCATCTCCTTTCATGAGATACTTAAAGAAATCAAGATGTTACTGTGACTGCTTAAAGTTGAATTCTAACTTTGGTAAAACTGCCAAAGATGGATGAGTTTTCCTCAATTATTTGCTTGATAACCCTTTTAGACTATTATTGATTACTAATATCAAACTTCCTAGCAGGTGGTTTTTGGAAGCTATCTTTTCTCATTTTAAAAATTAGCATCCCAGTTTTCTGGAACTTTCTCTTGATCTTCATGGTTTCTCAGTTTACCAACAGTCATTCTGCATCCATGGATGTTACTTTTGCTTTGAGTCTTGAAACTTGAGACTTGAACTCACTTTACGAGACTCTTGTATGTATCTTCCTCCACCGCTGCAGTTCCCTTGGAAAGCATCATATATATCTTACTTAGGTTTTTGTTTTTCAGGTTTCATTGTTTTTTAAGCTTAGGAACACAGAGTTGGGTTAATCATAACTCTGGATTCATGATACACACTCATTGTTCGTCCACTAGTGTCTACTTTTTTAAAAGTTACTTAGTCATTTCTAATAATGTAGTAACTACCCATATACCCACCCCCGACAAGAAACAACCTAGAGAATTTACATGTTATCCTACGGGTTTCTCATTAACCCATACCCTGTCTCCCCACACAAAGAAACCATCATTCTAAGCCTTGTGCTCAAGATGCCCTTGCTTTTCTTTTCATATAGTTTTCATTTATTTATATATACATAGATAAATTTTCATATATATATATATAAAATTTAAATTGTTACTGACTTTTAAAAGGGTAGTATGCTGTGTATAATCTTTTGGACTCTACTTCTTGGATTAATAGTGTTTCCTAAGATTCCTCCATACTTTTGTGTGCTGTTGGAGTTCGTTTGTTTTTATTGTTTTTATTGGGCAGATATACCAGAGCTTATCCATTTACCCTTTTTGTTGATAGACTTTTGTATTACCTCTATGTTTTTGCTAATGTGAACAGGGATTGAATGCCTATTCTTATCCATTTCACCTGTTTTGCAAGAGCTACAGAGTGTACACATTTTCAAGTAAAGGAACAAATGTCATACTGTTTTCCAAAGTTATTGCATCAATGGACATTCTTAACAACAGTTAAGAGAGATTCTGATGATCCACACCCCCTCCAATATTTGATATATGACTTACTGACTTTCATCAACCAAATGGATATGAAATGGTATTTTGCTGGAGTCATGATTTTCATTTCTCTTGGCTAGGTACTTTTCTGTATTCCAAAAATCACTTCTTTCTGAAACAAAAGAGCTGACGAGTGGTTCTGCACGTCCTCCCTATTATGATGAGTACAGCATCTGCTCTAAATCATGTACTTACTGCTCTTTATTGACCATACTTGGCGATAATTTGAAAAATCATTTTACATCTTTGTATTTTTCAAGCCACACTTCATTCTAAATTCTATTCCCCTACTCCTATCATATATACCTCCTCTTTAAAAGTCCTATGGAGAACTTCAGTGCATCCTATCTGTTTGCTGTTGCCACCCCTTTTTGTCTGCATCATGCCTACCCTGCTTAATTCCCTAGAATGTCTCTTTACTAGCTGTCATCCCTCTTTGGCTATTTGAAGCTGCTTCAACCTACTGGTGGTTTGACCAATTTGAATCGGTAACAGTGTGGAGGAAGATACCTGCAATGATACCATAAACACTCAACAATGTTGCTACTGTTTTGAGTTTCCAGCTACTGTTTTGAGTTTCCCTTTCCTCCTAGTTCTACTCCTTCTCTGACTAACTTTTTAAAAATATTTAAGATACACGTTGTTATGCCCAGGGTTCCATTCTTTCTTGGTTAAAAGTATAAAATGCTGCGGTCACATTCTTATGAGTTTCTCTCTTCTGTCTCACCCATGAGTTCTCTGTTAGTCAGATTGAAATCCACACTGAAAGTTTCTGGGTTTTGATTCCTTAGCCTTCTATGGAGTTATCAAATCAGAAAGTCAAAGGAATGCATGAAATATACTTCTCTGGCAGAATGAACTTTTCAGCAGATACCGACAAGCTGAAGAGCCCTCGTTAATCCGTTATGCATTCGTGTTGCCAGTTTTGAATTCTGTTGTGGATACCTGAATGGTTTGAAGTGTCCTCCATTTTATTTTTTTCTTCTAAATTATTTATTCCACGCCTGCCCCTTTATGTATTTAGCTTATTCGCCTTTTCCTTCCTGGCAAAGGAATGACTCTTCCTTGTCTAGAACTTAGCATTCTGATCCAGAAAGCCAAATCCTGCTACAGGGCTGTCTAATATAACTTCCCATTTGCTTAGCATTACCATCTATGTCACATGGATGCCATTTGCTATTGAAGAACATATCTTTTGTTCCAGCAAATCCTTCTGTTTCTCTACAGTATATTCAAAAGCTGCTAGACATCTGATAACCATTTGTTTGTGATCTTAGCATATTCTCAAGCTAATTAGAAGTTTAAAGTAGTTCTTATAGGTTTGATGAATTTGTAATATATAGTCTATACACCAAGTAAATTCAGGTTTTTTTTTTTTTTTTTTTTTTTGAGACGGAGTCTCGCTCTGTCGCCCGGGCTGGAGTGCAGTGGCGCGATCTCAGCTCACTGCAAGCTCCGCCTCCCGGGTTCACGCCATTCTCCTGCCTCAACCTCCCGAGTAGCTGGGACTACAGGCGCCCGCCACCTCGCCCGGCTAGTTTTTTGTATTTTTTAGTAGAGACGGGGTTTCACCGGGTTAGCCAGGATGGTCTCGATCTCCTGACCTCGTGATCCGCCCGTCTCGGCCTCCCAAAGTGCTGGGATTACAGGCTTGAGCCACCGCACCCGGCCAGGTTTAATAGTTTTTAAAAATCACAGATTTTTAACTTCATTACGATCAAATCTCATTAAATTTTCCTTGGAAGAATTTTTAAAGAACAGTTAAAAATATTTTATTTCAAAATACTTTTTTATAAAACTTTTTTTTTCAGCTACTGCTTTAAATGGATCATTCCTTTGTACAAAAGCAAACATGGCTTATGAGTTTTATAACTTAAAAACATATCATTATAATCCCTAATAATAATTTTTCTGAATGTATTTATTTCAAACCTTGTGTTTCTCCTATGTTTCTGAAGGTCATGAAATTTTTATAGAAGCTTATGTCTTTGAGAAAATGTAAAATTTCATATCCTTGAGACATTTTATATTAGTATTCTAATTTGCATAGAGAGTAAGCATGCTTGTTATCTGATAAAATTCCTATACTTCTTACTCCTATTTACTAATGTACATTACTAATCATTGGGAATAATGGGAGACATTAGAATAGGTAGGTCTTAAGGAGCAGCTAAGCAAAATTGCTCTGTTTTCGACAGTAGATATACAGTATGTATTGATGGAAGACTGCAGATTTGCCTTCCAAATCTGTTTTGCTAAAGTTCTCATAAGTTCTTATTTTTTTAAATCCTGGCTAACTAATAACATGTAATAACATGTAACTAATAACTAATAACAGAGTAACAGAAACTTACAGTAGAACATTTCCTGCTTTCTGAGTGAATCATTAACATCTTTGCTTTTGTGATGAAACATGCAGTTTGACATCTTAACCAGACAGTGAAACTGTCCTAGGCCTGCGTTCCCACCTTTATTTCCTCCTTTGCAAACTATGCTCATGTGCCTATCATTATAAACAGAAAGGGTGGTGCTCAGTATGTATTTGTTGAATGAATGAAAGAATATGACAAACCTTTTAGAATTTATCATGGAGTGGTGGGAAGGGTCACATTGTTTACCTTCCCTTCCATCCCCAGTTCATCTCCATGCCCAGAGTACTGTGTCTAATTGAAATAAAAGTATTTTTATGATTTGTAGCTTATATTTCATTATCTGCCTTCATACACCCCATGGAAACACTGAATGCTTACCAAGCGGAAGAAATACATATAAGGGTTAGAACAATCTAACTTTAATGAGCTGTAGGCTTCTTCCTACTATGGCTATTGGTTAATGACCAATTTCTTTTGGTCACTATTATATTACAGACCATAATAATAAAGCAGCTGAGATTTATTAAAAGCATATTATTTTTCAGACTCTTTTTTCTTTATTTTATTTTTTTTGAGTTCGAGTCTCATTCTGTCACCCAGGCTGGAATGCAATGGCACGATCTTGGCTCACTGCAGCTTCCACCTCCCAGGTTCACGCCTTTCTCCTGCCTCAGCCTTCCAAGTAGCTGTCATCACAGGCACCCGCCACCACGCCCAGTATTTTTAGTAGAGACGGGGTTTCACCATGTTGTTCAGGATGGTCTCGAACTCCTGACCTCAGGTGATCCGCCCGCCACAGCCTCCCAAAGTGCTGGGATTACAGGGGTGAGCCACCTTGCCCGGCCTAATTTTAATTAATGGTTATTATATTTGCCTGTATTCATGCATTGCAATGGCAGCATAAAGAAAAAAAGAGAAAAGCAATCCTTTTAAGGTTTGCAGTTTGGTTTGAATGAGGCCAATGTATGAATAAGTAGCAGGTGTAGTATGATATGGACCTCATAGTTATCTCTGTTACCTATAAAATATGTAATCTAATATTTTATTTTTGTAAAAGCACTCTGTATAATTTTCTTCCATGTCGTGAATTCATTGATTATATCATCTAAGTATTCTATCTTACATTTAAACAAGGTTGATGATAATACAAATGATTTGCTCTTCTATGTCAAATGTTCTTTTGCACTATCTAAAATCTCAACGTATTCCTGTCCCCCCCCTTTTTTTTTAACATGTACAGAGTTGTCATGATGAGGAAGATGATGACGGTGAAGAGGAAGTGAAGAGTTTTGAAGTAAGATGGATCTTTCTGGATTTGCCTTTTTTCTATCTTGAAACATTGTTTCATAGCTTATAACTGACATTTATGTTTCTTGCTTCATGGCTTATTGCAGCTTATTGTGTCAAGGAACTGCATGTCAGAGCTGGATGGACAAACCTGAGTCCTAACATTTGCTGAAGTTAAGACCAAGGATCATAGAATAGTTAAATAATATAATGAAGCCCATATGTTCAGAATGAGTGTTCCTGAGAACCCTCAGAGATGAGACGGCTTCAAATTGTTCTCATCTCAGTGATGTCGTGGTCTGGAATTTCCAACAGACGTGACGAAAATGTTTATTGACAACATGACATCAAGTTTTTCATCAAACCCTTGGTTTGATATTTTTTCCTCAATAGAAGTCTTAAAGATTTGGCCTTAAAGACTTCTGCCCAATTAGATCACTCATTCCATGTACATATGCAGATAGTGGCACACAACGCAGTTTGCTTGCATGAGGTAGGAGTCCATGTATCCCTAGGACTGTATTACGATTATTTTCTCAAGTGCTCTCAGCTTTTAAATGTCCTATATAATTTGAAATGCTGCTTAATGTTACTTAGCCCAAAGGAAAGTTCTTGGTATTTTCCCCATTTGCTTATACTATACGTTCATTTTTTATGAGGAAAAGCTAGTTGTTGCTAACTACCACTCTTTTTGTTTATTGGTTCTTTTTTTTTTTTTTTTTTTTAGAATTTTCATAAAGAAATTAAGTGCAGGGAAATAGAAATTAGATTCTTTTTCTTTTCCTTTTAATTTACATGTCTGGACTTTGAGCTAGAAGTCTGGAAATATATCAGTAGCCAGCAATGAGTCTTTAATTAAAGTGGACCCACAAAAACATATTAGCTAAGGAATGAGCTCAGAGCAGTGACCTTCCAGGATCCATTTGTTATGAGCATGTCTGCAGCATTGAAGTCAATGAGTCAAAAATATAAAAACAATCTAATTTGAGGAACTCATGACTGTTGCTGGCTGAGAAAAATGCCATAAGATTAATTTCGGTATGATTTCTATAATCTTTTCTAACGTATGTGTTTTCTATTCTCAAAGTCATCTTTATTGATAAGAAAGTGAGGTCAGTTAGAATGAGCTGTGAGCAGCAAATAGTACTGTTTTTCTGAAGTGCACACCATTTATGGTCTATCCGTTGTCTTCAGAGCAATTGTTTATTGCTATTTTGCTTCTTGTCCTCATCCTTCCTTAAGGTCACAGGATCCCAACGCAGCAAGGTAAAACTATATATATGTGTGTATTTGTCTGGGTCTGAGTTTCGGTTTCTTGTGACATTTACCTTTGTTAGACCCAACATCTTGGATTCTTTTGTAAAAAGGAGGTCTTGAAAATCTTTCTACCAGTTTGTAGCTCCAATGCAATTGGTCTCTTCAGGATCCCTTCCTTTGACACAGGTTTATTCTTCTTGCAATTTATATGACTCATAATTTGAAATGTTATCCTCCAGCTAACTTTGAGCTGTATACTGTGCTAGGATAAAGGAATCCAGCCCTTTAAATGACAAACTTTTTAAGCTAGGGACTTCTCATTTTTGGTGCAGTGTTCTGACCTTATCCCTCTTGATGTTTTTTCAACGCCAGTTTTATTACTTGAAAACAGACATGATGAATGGTATGGCTGGTGAGATTGGAAAGAAGCCTGCTTTTCCATTGTGCTAGTAATCACTTCAATTAGTAACTGGAGATTATATTCCATGATTTCAATACTGATTTCATCATTGCATTAAAGGGAAGGACTAGATGACTATTTCTCTCTTAATATTTTGAATACTGGGAACATTTGCTAAAAGAAAACGTTTGGATATAGAATTACAAAATTGCTTATGTTAATATGAACCTTGTTAAGCTTACGTTTTATTTTCATAAGGCTATTTAGTAGGAAAATCAATCATAAACGTTCTGGGAAGATGATACCCATAAAGACTTTTGTTTTTGTTTTTTGTTTTTGTTCTTGTTCTTGTTTAAAAAAGAAAAGAAAAGAAAAGAAAACCTTTTAGGAGGCCGGGGGCAGTGGCTCATGCTTGTAATCTCAGCACTTTGAGAGGCTGAGGCGGGTGGATCACTTGAGATCAGAAGTTCAAGCCTGGCCAACGTGGTGAAACCCTATCTCTACTAAAAATACAAAAATTAGCCGGGCGTGGCAGTGCAAGCCTGTAATCCCAGCCACTCGGGAGGCTGAGGCAGGAGAATCACTTGAACCTGGGAAGGAGGAGGTTGCAGTGAGCCGAGATTGCGCCATTGCACTCCAGCCCGGGCGACAAGAGCGAAACTCTGTCTCAACAACAAAAAAGCTTTTTAGTTTGTAAGTGTAAACTATTCTACTTTGCCTTCTTTTAAAAGAAAAAAAAAAAAAAAGTGAAATATTTGCTGCCAAAATGAATTTTAGACTGTTCTGAAGAAACTATTTTAAAGTTTCTTTTTAATTTTTTATTTTATTTTATTTATTTTATTTTATTTTATTTTTTTTTTGAGACAGAGTCTCACTGCGTCACCAGGCTGGAGTGCAGTGGCACGATCTCAGCTCACTGCAATCTTCACCTCCCAGGTTCAACCCATTCCCCTGCCCCAGCCTCCCGAGTAGCTGGGACTACAGGCGCACGCCACCATGCCCGACTAATTTTTGTATTTTAGCAGAGATGGGGTTTCACCATGTCGGCCAGGATGGTCTTTATCTCCTGACCTCATGATCCACCTGTCTCAGCCTCCCAAAGTGCTGGGCGTGAGCCACCACGCCCGGCCACTTTTTAATTTTTTTAACTCACTATTATAGTTGGAGGAATATATTGTTCTTGTATCATCATCCTTGTAAATTTCAAAATGTAAATCACATATGTACTACCAGATGCAGCTCTGATCTAATGGGTATAATGGTTAATAGCATATAATGAGCCTAACACTAATATATTATGGGCTTACATAATAGATAAGAATAGGTATAATAATAATTTGGTAGATTTTGATTTTTTATCATTAATTGTTTCATATAAAATTTCTGTGAATTGTTGAGGGATGAAAACCTGAAGGGATCACCTAACATCAAATAAAGAACTGATTTCCTAAGTAGCATAAAAGTTAATGCCTCAAGAATGTGTTGATAGTTGGATGATGGGGCTGGATGATGGAGAAGGTGTTGCTAGCCAACAAAACCATTTTACCTTGAAAGAGGAATGCAGTTTCAGAGAGATCAGTTTGATAAATAGGGTCAAATTTAGTGACATTAGAAAGGTTCCTTATTCAGAAAGGAAGTCTGAAAGACAACTAGTGGTGGCATCTAATATTTAGACACTAGGATTCAGGCCAGACTAAGGACAAGAAGTCAAATGAGATACGGAGCGTGACCCGAGAGAAAGGGCTACCTTTGAACTTAGAACAGTGGACAAGTATTCCCATGATGGTGAAACCTAGCAATTAATCCCAAAACAGAGGATATAGACCAGCAGGTATGACTGTCTCAGCAAGAGGCAGGCTTTTGAAGTGCTGGGAATTGCCACACATTTATAGGTGTAATGCGGGACACCAGATTTGGGGATTTGCACTTCCTAATGAGATTTTTTTTTTTAGCGATCTCCATCCGATTTGGGACTATAATTTACACCTAATTTATGTAACATGCTACTCTTAACAAAATACTGTATAAGTGGTATGAAATAATACAAAGTTGAGAAACAGAGATATATCTAATTAATTCCTTCTAAAGATACTCTTCTCTGAGATTGACTATGTGATACCAACAAAACCACTGAAAAATGTATTGTTTATAAATGTAGTAATCTACCATACTTTTTACACGGAGATGTCTATTTGACATAATTAGACATGGTCTAATAGTGGAGTTATTCACATAAGCTACAAATATGAAAGGCTATTTATCACTTTCAATAATGCTTATAATGAATTATATCAAATAAGTTTGGAAATCACACAAAGTGTGTGGTAATTGAATTCTATCCTTGTAGCTGGTTAATTATTAATATTTGCTATAGTTTCTATTTAAATTCTTTCCCTGTAAAGTAGTCCATAAAGTCACTGAGAAGAGAAACAAAGTAGGTAAAAAGAAAAGTGGTGTTATAGGGAAATTCTCCATGAAGAATGCAGTAAAGCTCAAAAAACATGGAAAACAAGGAAAGAGGAATGACTTGCCAGCTCGTTTCTTCTTCCATCATATATGTGTATTATTGACATGATCCTGTTAAATTAAAACTTGCCTGATTTAACCTGATTACAAAATTCCCTCTTTCATCTGTAATATATGTAAATATGCTTTTGCTATAACTACTTATTAAGTAACTTTATTGCATATTTAGTTAATTAATTTTTAGGTTTGGAGCAACTTCTGTATCAAAAGCATTAAAAGGGAGAGTTAAATCTTATAAAGAAGCTGACATTAATTGAAAGGGAAGAAATGCTTTATCAGTTACCTGAAAACATAATTATTGGAGTTGAATGCTAGATTTCACTTTTTAATTTTTGCTAAGACAAATAATAATAAACAATAATATTTCAAATAACATCATTTTTCTGAGCATTATGGGTTTTTCTCACCTAGATCAACAAAGAGCTTTGATACTGCAGTAGACCACATTTATTAACTGATTTTATAAAAAACTCAGAAACATTCTTTAGATGGTTACTTCGTTTATTGCTCTTCTCTAAAATCTGAGCATATAGCATTAAATAATAATTTAGTGAAAGCATTTCTTTAGAATATTAAGGTACTATAATATAGATTCCTTGTTTACTGCTAAATCTAAATTAATGACAGTGAAGCTTAGATAAGCGAGAGGAATGGAGTGTTACCTCATCTTCCAGGCCATCTTTCTCAAATATTAGGCAAACTGCATCTTCCTTTTGGTGAATGCCCAATTTCTAATTCACAGATGAATTATCTGATGAGTCTGAGGTCCTATTTTTCTGTACTATTGATTAGAGAGAATTTCTTGTGTGTTAAATTCTAAATAT